ATGTAAAAAGGTCGCCTAATCAAAAAAACGGAAAACGGTCTTCATCGTCAAAATTGCGGGTTTTGGTGAGTAAGAACAAAGAAATACGAATTCAGCATGTCGAAAAGTATAGAATACCGTTCATAAAATTTAGCACCGCAATTGCTTCTCGCATTCAGTCCCTTTTCCTTCCTTTTAGACTTGATCGACGTCATTTGTTCGGATAGCGCTACAACTTGTCAGATTGTTGTGATCCGTCATGAAGGTAATTCGCCACATGTTCTGTCTTCTTATCTATATTGCCTCTTGCATTTTTAACGAATTCATTTATGAATGTCTTAATCCGTAGAAAACAATGGATTTTAAAGGAACTTAATACGGCTGAACATGCCAAACTCCAATAATGCTATTGTCGTTTAACTCCGTGTAAACTAACCAAAGGGTTGCAGCAGCCATGCACAAGTTTTCACAACTGAGCGTATTTCTTTTCTTAATGTTTTTTTGTTATTTTCATGCTGTTTTATTTCACGTTAACTTATCCAAAAAAACACAAAGCTAATAGCATTTATGAAAAGCTGTACCATATTGAATAAAGGGGCTAACCTACGTATTAGCTAGGTTTTACTCTAAGGGAAGATATAGAGGTATTCAAAATTTATTGACTTTGGCATCATTTTTTCAGTAGGTGCCTTAATTTTTATTGAGGTCGTACAAGTATCAACTGTCCTTTCTAAACTTGATCATGCCTCTTTCATTTAAACTTGTGTCGTATAATGACCATTTCAGAGTTCAGATTGAGGTTGAAAGTTAGCGATTATGTGGGTTTATTTGCTATGAAATTAGGGCACATTCGCCTCACTCATTGAAGAAAGTTTCCACCGTTCAAATCGTAGTTCTGTCTGATTATCATCCGAGCAAGCGGCCTTTAGCACTAAAATTCTAATTTGCAATACTTGAAAATTAAAAAATTCAATTCTGAAGCAATGTGTCAGTTTATCGCAAGCGGTCGGAGTTTATGAACAATTGCAAGTTGTCGTTATACATTTAAAATTATGTTGCTTACTGTGTCAATGTTTAATTTTAATATATTATTTGGAAGTTTTGCCTTACTTACTTTTTTTTGTTCAGGTACAGGAGATTGTAGTTTAACCCATTTAGATGGTGCGAGCACGAAACAGGCGTTAATAGACATGATCGGGTCGCTCGAAGCCCTTGCTCAAAATCAAGATCAACGTAAAAGGTAAAGGATACAGTCAAGTTGTACAATAATTTTTTGATCAAAACTTGATTTGTAAGAAGTGCCGTTCACCTGCATTGCTTGAATTGTTGCTTTTTATGCACAAACCAGCAAGGGCAGTTTTAGTTATATGCAAAATAAATTAGCTACTTCAACGCATCGATTGGCTAATTTTTTATTCTTTATAGAAATTTATAACCATTGACTTTGTTATAAAGGTATTTTAAATTTAAAATTAGCGGTTATAATATATTTTGCCTTGAGATGGATCCGCTACTGCAAAGTGCAAACCAGTGAAATGTAATTTGAAACTCTCAATGTCTTTAACCTTTTTGCGAGCTTTGATGTATTTAATCAGAGTTTTAGTTATCTTTGGTGGAAAAGTTTACTTTGCCAAACGATGTTGGTGAGCAATTCCCTGAAATGGAGCCTGCCTGCAAAGATTTCCAAAACTATATTAACTGTGATGTGTTATTATTGATGTTAATATGTATATGTTAATTTAAGCTAGGAGTGTTGGATGTAGTATTTCGTGTATTTATTGCTCTGTCTTCTCAAAGTTCACAGACTGCGGCACTAGTTAGGAGGATTAGGAGAACAGCATTATGTATTTTATGAAGTTTACATAAGACGTGACAATTATCCTATTCTTCGTAATGTTTTATGATTGCCTAAAATTGGAGCGACGGAGTAACAACATGCAGAATTACAGGGCACTTGACCCGAGGATTGCCTCAGCTCCATTCAACTAAATATAAATCGAGGGATACATTCACTCGGAAGTTTCAAGCTAAAGTTGGCAGTATCGTTTCCAGTCTTTCCACGCATGTGATAAACGTGACCAAAATAAAATATTTCATTGTTTTTGAAGCAACTGCGTGAAAAGCTTGAATTAAGTTGCAAAAAATACTTTCAGAAAGATGTAATTTACTCCGACTCATTTATAACAATATTTTCACGGTAATACAATTAAAACAAATGTATTGTATAATTTAGTATACGTTTTGTTCTTTCGTTTGTTGAGCTAAATCAAGCTTTATTTTACCAGAGGGCAAAAATAGCTGATGGCTTTCTAAGAATATGTAAATTTTAGACCTTTGCTGAATGGGGATGTTTCGGATGAAAGAAGGCACGTTCGGCGAAAAAGTAAGCCGTAATGTTTTCAAAACATTGTTTTCCTCATTGTCTACGAGGAATTTGATGAAAAAACAAGCAATGAAATGTCATTTTTACGCGTATATCTTACCTTTACAATAATTTCGATCAATGTTAGCTGTTTGTCAGAAAAATCAGCGTTTTAACAGAAAACTAAAGCTCTCGAGTCATGTAAACATTTTCCGACAAAACAATAATCGTCAACATCTTCAAATGACTGTTCGTTGCTGTATTCCGTTTGTCACAGCTTATTTTTTCAGAAAAATGAATATGTCATTAAAGCTTTTTACATAATAATCGTAAAGTTTAAAGTGCATATAAACCTTACGTGGTTTATATGCACTTTAAACTTTAAATCAGACAAATATTTTGCGCTGTACAGTCTATCAAAGGTTGCAAAAATATACCATTTTAAGTCTGGTTTTACCGCTAAAGGACTGGGCCTGCGCGGTCGGGTGACGACATGTAAGTAATCGCTTCCTGAACATTATAATAATTTAACAAGCTACTTTCTTTTATTGCACATCATGCCAAATGCCCATGTATTTGCAAGGCAATATACCAAGTTGCAAGGACAGACACCGTTAAAAGACTGTCCTCCCACTCTATATCATAATTTGCTTTTTCTGATGAATCTGAAGATGATGTTTCCGAAAAGATGGGGACATTTTGAAAAAAAAACGACGCAAAATTCGAAATATCGGCAAAACTATTGATTATTTTAAAAAGCAAATAACTTGTTTTTAATGGAGCCTACGCGACTGTGTTCCTTACATGACGTCACAACATGTACTAGATACCAGACCCCATTGGGAAAAAATGTATTGAAAATCTGGACTTTTAAACTGCAATTGCGAAGAAAGCTTTGATCTCAATTCATTTGTTTTTTTTTAAATTTGTAGTTTTCGAGTACTGCTCTTTCAAACTATACTAAAATCCTATAAGTTTTATATGCACTTTAAAAACACTACATATTCAATGTTTTTTAAAAGTAAAACTCACACAACATATTGTGAAAACATTGCCATGTAGGCGTATTTTATATATTCGTGGTAATCCACGAACACAACACGCGTATTTTTTCCTACAAAAAATCACTCCGTATTGGCTTCATTTTGTCATATGGCTTCTGTATTGGAGTTATCGTTCCAGTCTTTTCATAGAGTTCACTGCCCATCCTTTGTTAGACAAAATTAATTAATTACAATAAATAATGGTATAGTCACAGAATAATGATTATACAGAAGGTGTACAACGCGTCCTCATGTCGGCCATTATTTCAGCCAGATGATTAGCATTTCTCACTTTTTTACACAACCAATAAAATTACATGACGTCAATACTGAATAATGAATTCAAGTATATTTTGACTTAAGAAATGGCTTCGGATTATTTTAAAGGTTTGGAAAAAGTCAAAAACCCTACTCATCTGGCTGGAATAATGGCGGCCACCATGCGCGGCACGACATGCACGACGACAAAAACATCAGAGGTTCCGACACGAGTGACTCTTCTGTATATTCTTATTCTGTGATATAGTTTCGAGTACAATTACGGATAATTGAGCGCTAGTGAGTTAGCTACTTGAAAGTGTATGTTTTGCCGTAATTCACAAGAAACTATTCTATTTAACTTGCCCATAATATATTTTGAGATGTTTTGCACAACGCCGTCTACATCTGTCTCACTGCGTAGGTAACTCTCCAACGGTTTAAAAAGCCTTTTTGCGCTTCTCAATTTTTATAATCATTCAAAAAAAACAGTACTTGCTGTTGTGCTTTTATTCTTTGAATTTTTATCTAATACTTTAATTTAACCCGATTGCAAATATGGAAATCTTTTTTAGCTTCTTACAACTGCCTTTTTTTTAAATATAATTGTAGCTTGTTTGGCTTTCGCTGCTTTTCAGACAATCAAGTTACATTTTTTTACAGTGCAACTACATATTTTCGCAATGCAAATACATACAAACTGCACTACAATCAACCAACCAAAAGTCGATTAATATCTGTAATAATACGCATAAAAAATATATTAATTCTGGTAAGTTTACAGCAGTGCAATTTTTAGTAAATACCAGTGCAAAGAATAGGAAATACCAATGCAAATAATTGAGCATTTTGCATAGGAAATAATAATGCAAAAAAATTTTTTTTTCGTATTAGAAACTATAGTGGCTATATATAATTTATCTAACCGTAGACTGACTTCTGATTGTAGTGTTGTTAATTTTCAATTTCACTGCGTTCCATAGCAACGAGCTCAACAAAAAGACAGTTATGTGCTTTATATAATTTTCAATATGTGCTGGCAAACTCGATGATCGTTTATTGTCCAACTGACTTTTTCGCTGCATTATGGGCTACTTTTATGCTGACTCATTTGTGTTTTTTGGCAATTCTAACTGTTTTTATGATTAAAATGGAAGGCCTAGAAACAAATCACGCGAGTACCCTAACCACTACATAAACTCTGTAATATGTTCAGATTTGTTTTCGCAACAAGCTAACCATGCCATTAGTCTATCCTTTTGATCAAACCTTTAGTCTGTTCGTCCTTGTTATAGCAACTTGTTTGGTTTGTTACAAACACATTCAAGTTATTCACTTAATTCATATACTTATTTCAGGTGTTGTAATGAATTTTTCAGTTGACGTCGAGTTAGTGTGTGCTTGTGTTTGTGGTAAGTGCAGTTAATTATAGCTACATATATTAGCTAGTAGTGCTTTTTTTAAACTATTTTAGAGATAAAGAAATACTGGTAAAGGGCATGCCATGCATGCCTCTTTTGTGCTGGTACTGTTGTTAACCAAAATTGGCATCACTCTAGCATTTATAGCATGTAGCTATGTCGGGTGCTTTTTTCGAAACTGGACTAGCGCCTCACCTCATAAGTTGCATTTTTTTGCAGGAAGTTTACCTGACTCCTTTATCTTTTTGCTTCAATAAACTCTATTAATTAATTCTCTTGATTTCTAAAATCTAAATCAAAATATAAATCTCTAGTTAAATGTAATGTTTTGAATGCTTTTTCACATTACTCTTTTCAATCTTAACCCCAAGCGTTAACAGCGAATTTTTTCTTGAACTAATCTTCAATTTGTTTCGTTACTGTTGCCAAATGACAACTCTGCTGTATAAAAGTTATTATTGTTACATATACTGTATATTAAGAGTATAGCTGTTACCGATTGCCAATTTCAAAGTGCGTCAATCAACCCGTCCTCACAATGATAAGACCCAATTATATAAACGTTTTACGTATGCATATTATTTATAGATTTATTTATTTATCATTTTGTTACAAAGCATAAGGGGTATATAAAAAACAAGGAGACCTTTAGAAATCGATTACTTGTGGAAAAATTCAAAGCCTTGTCAATGAACACTGTGCTAAACTCTTGCATGAGTGTATTTTGTGCAGATTTTAATTGCTGTTGGTGTTAAGGCCCGTTTAGACGATCCGATTGTTTCGGTTCTGACTTTTGATTGCTTGTTCATACGGTCGGATAATTTTGTTGACATTTATATTCCCTTATATATTTATTGTCTTGAAAGTAGCAATATGTGTTATCTATTACATTCATCGATATATTTGTGTATTTCTTATTCTTGTTTTCAAGTCTTTTTCAAACCTAATTTCTTGTGGCAATCAAATTTGGGAGGTATAGAGAGTAAAAAGTTTGAGGCTATTCGGCCTCCTTTTATCTTGTCCGATGAAAATAGAGCAAGTTCTATTTCCATCCGGTTTTTGAGAATGACGGATCTGACTGTAGGAGGCTCACTTTAAACATGTTCACACTATCCGTTTTTTTACATCCGACAAAATCGGATCGTGTGAACGGGCGTTTAAATGTTTAATGTTTAATTTCAGGAAGAAAAAAATTGTTGCATCTACATGTTCGTGACAAAGATACGTATTCGACATGTGCACGTAGTTTGCAAAGTTCATGCACCTGTGGGTTGTATGTTCAAAGTTCATGCACCTGTGGGTTGTATGTTCAAAGTTCATGCACCTGTGGGTTGTATGTTCAAAAGTTCATGCACCTGTGGGTTGTATGTTCAAAAGTTCATGCACCTGTGGGTTGTATGTTCAAAATTTCATGCACCTGTGGGTTGTATGTTCAAAAGTTCATGCACCTGTGGGTTGTATGTTCAAAAGTTCATGCACCTGTGGGTTGTATGTTCAAAAGTTCATGCACCTGTGGGTTGTATGTTCAAAAGTTCATGCACCTGTGGGTTGTATGTTCAAAATTTCATGCACCTGTGGGTTGTATGTTCAAAAGTTCATGCACCTGTGGGTTGTATGTTCAAAAGTTCATGCACCTGTGGGTTGTGTGTTCAAAAGTTCATGCACCTGTGGGTTGTATGTTCAAAAGTTCATGCACCTGTGGGTTGTATGTTCAAAAGTTCATGCACCTGTGGGTTGTATGTTCAAAAGTTCATGCACCTGTGGGTTGTATGTTCAAAGTTCATGCACCTGTGGGTTGTATGTTCAAAAGTTCTTGCACCTGTGGGTTGTATGTTCAAAAGTTCATGCACCTGTGGGTTGTATGTTCAAAAGTTCATGCACCTGTGGGTTGTATGTTCAAAAGTTCATGCACCTGTGGGTTGTGTGTTCAAAAGTTCATGCACCTGTGGGTTGTATGTTCAATAGTTCATGCACCTGTGGGTTGTGTGTTCAAAAGTTCATGCACCTGTGGGTTGTATGTTCAAAAGTTCATGCACCTGTGAGTTGTATGTTCAAAGTTCATGCACCTGTGGGTTGTGTGTTCAAAAGTTATATTCCTTAGTTTATTAACATTAAGGTGCATATATACAGCAATCATTGCAAAGTAATCATTTGTTTTGTTTTCACAGCTGCAAATGATACAATCCTTAAAGGTCAACATGTTCCCAAAATCTACGGATTAGGTAGGTACACCGTTTGCCAGTTTCAAAATTTGTAGTTTAAAGAATGAGTCTTTGCGCGCTTAGCCATGCACATGCAGCCACTTTCGGGGCACCCTAAAATGTCGGCAAATTAGGTTGTCAGTGCAGCGATATGTCTTCCTCGATTTCTAAGTCTGATAAATTGATGGTCGGCCAAGAAATGAATTAAATAAGGATTTATTTATATTTGATTAGCTAGAACGCAATTCTTGAGCTTGTTTGTCGATCGATGTGCAAAGGCTTGTACGTGGGTCGAGTTTGTTTGTAACAGTTTGCACTACACCGTGTTCTTCATGATAAGGTTGTTGAATTGGTGATACGTAATAGTTTAAATCTTCTTCTTCTTCCTAACGCGGCACAGTCAAGTCTGGATCTTATTTAAATTCCGATCTTTTGCAATATTGTGGGTGATTGTTTATGCAACTCTGTATTCGATAGCGGAATTCATTAATAGAAGTAAACACAAGCGCGCAAAGCATTACCGTAAGACTCATTTTATAGTTAGACTTTAAAAGCCAAGGGTAAGAGCACACCTTTTTTATTTCGATTTCTAAATCAACTGCAAACGAATATTTGTTTTCTAGTAGAGCGGTTTAAGTTTGCAAAATTCATCTTCTAATTATTAGGGATGGATGTATCAACTGGTAAGATTTCCCCAGTTTTTGAGCAGTTTCAATGCCAAATACCAGATGAAACATTACGTCATGCGGCTTTGTACGCTAAGAAACAGGTAAAGTAAAGTTCAGTGAAAGATACTTCTTTATCTATGTGAATTAATTTAGACATTTTTCTCAATGTGTTCTTTTCTCCTCCAATATCGTTTATGTCCCTGATGTTATTTTGTCTCTTTATATTGAAACAAACATGGCTGACCGGAAGTTCGTCTCTCTTTAAAATCTAAAACTCGAAGGTCGAGTTTTCCCAAAAGTCTCTTTGCATTTCACTCGTAAATAGCATTTTAACAACAACAATGTAACAATAAGAAACAACTTATTAATGATAACAACTAGCATTTCATTTATAGAAAAAAAAACAATAGTGTGAAACAGAAAATGTAAAAAAATTGCTATAATTTTTCATCTTACATGTATTTATGATTGATATGTCTTCTTTTAATTGGTTTAATTGGTTGAGCTCAGATCGTTTTGCACCACAGAGTTCTATAATAAGTGGAGTGGCTAAGTGGACTGGGACGATGATCCAGAAAAACAGCGATCACTGGAACTATTTTCATTGAAATCACTACTTTACAGAAAAAATATTCTCGACTTCCCCCTAGTGTCTACGCTCAAAATGTTTAAAATGTGTAAAATGTTTAAAATGTTTCAAAAACAATCATGAAACTTCAAATTCCTTTTACATTTTCCAAAATTTAAACTTTTCAATTGTTGTGTCCACAAAGAGGAACATTTTGTTTATCAAAGGTGAGATGTTTGCTTGTAAAGCTACAATAATGACAAACTCCGTATGGCCGTTGTCAAAAACATAGATTTGAACTTCGAATACAGTATAAACAATGATTTTTTTCTGTTTTGTTAATAAAATTCAACATAGTTTTCTATTCATATGTTTTGTCAACGTATGACATCGTAGCTAAATCTACCAATCCTTTTAAAATAGTTTCTGACCCAAAGAAAGACTTCTGCACAACTTTGTGGATAGATTAATTTGAGAAAAAGTAACTTCTTACAGTATTTACGAAGCTGAACAAAGTTTGATTTAATCATTTTGCTGACAACATGAAGTGAGGATAAGCTTGCTATAAGTGTATGTAAATATCGTGCAGTACAAACAATTTTTCGTAGACGTCTGAAAAGACCATTGGAAAATTGTTATTGGTACTAGGATTAATGATAATTTACTCCAAATGCACAATTTCAAACTATAAAATCCATTGGTTTCTCTGTAGAATCATGTCATATCTTTATTAAGTTATTTTAGTGGAGTGTCTACTGCAAGTTCTTGACAATAGACGCTTTAGTTCTCTTTAAAAAGTCTTTGGATGGAAAAAAGTAACGAAAATGAAGAAAATAACATCTCTGTCATGAACATAGAACTAACCTATGAAATACTTTTCCTTTGTATAATGTTTCATCGAGCAAAAATGTTTAAGCCTAGTTCTCATTCATCGCAAAACGTCGGCGAGCGCTTACTATTAATGAGAACGCGTTAAAATTTATGTCGCCGATTTTTTGTGACAATCGCCTAGCGTCGGCGCTGCCAACGCAAGAAAAAAACGTCGCACATCTGCATTCTTGGCCAAGAAAAATCAAAAGCTTTCCTCGTGGGAAGCAATAAACCCTGAACCACAGTTTAAACGCTGTTATGAATTGTTGATTTTTTTACCTTTATTTTCATCATAAAGTTTGTTAAATCCCAAAGCTAATTATACACATATTACACACGTTATCTTCAGGGGTAGTAAAATCTTATGAAAAGCCGTCAATTTTGGTAAATATCAGCGGAAGTGGACAAAATTCTCCATTTTCGGCATCATCTGACATTTAAAGCTGTGACAGAGATAGCTGCTCCAGTTAATATAGAACTCTATGATTTGCACGGGCTAATGCAAACTCAGCTATTGACCAATCAGTGCACGCGCTTTACTGTTAGTATTTATAAATATTCATTAGTTATAATCTGTAATTAGAATTGATTTCAATGGAAATCAATAAGGTAGAGCATACGTGCATATTTGAAAAATACACCACTCCAATCATCCATCTTCAGCGGTCTACGATAAATTCCATTGTGATCCAACATGGAACAGGAATGTTTTTTTTGCAGTTAGTGAGGCAAGTGTATTGTTCTCTTAACCGAGAAATAAGAATAACACCTTTTGAAGAATGTTTTCCTCGCAAGACCTCTAGAATTATTGCCAATCTTTCCGATGAAGACCTTCTTACTGAGGTATAATATTTTCTTCATCATTAATCTGTCAGCTGATACCCAGAATTTCCCTTTATATAACTGTTGTTCTTTTTTGTGACAATTTGCATACAATCTTGTTCAAAAGTAATTGCTAATAATTGAATAACGATGACCACTTCGTTTAGCCGATGGTTGTTTAAGAGTTTTTAACTTGCCCTATTCTATATGCAGACAACATAAATAGCATTGTAAAATCTTACAAAGATGCTGCTCTTATCTTTTAGACATTCTCAACTTCACCACATTGTGAGCCCGCGAATTTCTGCACTAAGTTACGAGAGGTGCATCAATTTTTAGTGGAAAACAAGAACATTCAAGAGACATTTTTTCCCGAAGGAAATTCCAGGCGATTTCAATGTAGACACGGGGGCGTTTGGGCGTTGGTGTTGAAATGAAATCGCAAAGTAGCACATTTGTTATATGATGTTAACATATCAACTTAATTTACACTTAAAATTTTCTTTTGGAACTTGCTAAGTTGATATGTTTGACATATCGTGTAAAGTGAAAACTGCTTTTCTTTGAGCATATTTATTTACCTGCCAATATATCGTGACTTAAAACTAGGAGTTACTAGCACAAGGGAAGTACTCAGTGGGCTAAAACTGCTATTTGCAAATTGCTACTGCGTGTTTTCCATCATTTATCATCTGCCATAAACAACACAATAACGAATGGACAAAGTAAAAACACAACAACAAACTGGAATAACTTGTATACTTAGTCATTGAACAAAGACAAGCTAATTCTCATTATTCATGGCATTCCCATTATTGAAAGTGATAAATCGTATTGTTTTGAAAGTGTGATGGCTTTGTGATTAATAACCCAGTTCTTCATAAGGACATGTAGAAATCTACAAAAAAGATAGTATTTAAAAACACTTGCACTAGCATAAAAAGTGGAGTGTGAGAAAGCAATATACTAAGCTCGAAAAAATAACTTACCTTTTATTGTTTTTGCTGATGATCTTATTTACAAACATTGTTTATTTACATACAGTGATTATGGACATGAAATTGATTTGTTGTACAGGACTAATTACACATTACATTAAACAAAGGTGAATGGGACCTACAGGAGAATCCCGTGTCTTTTGCAAACTGTAAAGTTTGTTCATTAAAGTGCACTGCTGTAAGATGTCTGTGCTAAATTATCTAGATGGTTTTCCTCTTGAAGCCTGTATTGTAAATTAGCTGATGATTTCAAGCTTGTTAATCGCTCATATGTCATTGGTTCAATGACACAAATGGAAATTAATTTTACTCTGCTTATTGCAACGTATGAAACTCCAGCAGTTTTTTTCAGACTTGCCAATATCTATCCACTCTTTTGGAAGAGTTAGTCGTTGGCTCTAGTTTATTGTTAGAGCGAGTCCTAGAGGTAGCTGTCGCCTCTCATGAAAACCAGTTTCTAATGGAAAGAGAAAACCTCGATCGCCAGTTAAAATTAATGAAATTCCTCCAAATACTTTACCATAACAACCAATATACAATATTGTATATTAATCAAATTCTCTTGTAATTTACACAATTTCTGTTCAAACGATTTTTTTCACCATTGGCGTGGCCTCCTCTGTTTTTTTTTGCGGGGGGGGGGGATGGAGTGGGGCATCATTTATGCAAGATTTTGTTGAATGAAATTCTTTTGAAGTCAATTGTTTTGTGATACCAAAACATGCATGTACGAATGTTATTCTCACCATATTGAATGAGTGCACGCCAATGATTTTAACTTTCAAAATTATGAAGTGCCAAAATTGGTAAACATGCAGAGACTTCCTAAGATTGATTAAGAAGGTGCTCATATTCATATATCATCGACAATATATCCATAATTGTCGATGATTTCAATAAAAACTAATTTTGTAGAACATGCGTGTATGAAACAACTAACTTCCCCAGTTATCAATCTTCCACCTTATCTGATATATGCCAATGCGATCCAATATGGACTGTCTTGCAGCTCCTGAGACACGCTAGTATTCTCCCAACCAGGACCAGGTGATAAGAACACCACCTTTAGAAGAATTTTTTCTCGCAAGAGCTCTGGAATTCTTACTAATCTTTCCAATAAGGCCTTCTTACTGAGGTATAATAACTTCTTGATTATTCAGCTCTAAGATGTTAACCATATTCTCGTTTGCTTATAAAACTGTAATTTTTCTTAATCCACTTTGCACACGAATTTGTTGGAAAGTACTTGCTAATCAAATAACTGTAACCAATTCGCTTAGCATATGGTAATTTAAAAATTGCAATCAACATGTGTGCGACCGACTGTGTTGCCAACTTGGCCTATTTGTCTACAGACAACATAAGCAGCATTATAAACTCCTGAAAAGATATCGCTTTTGTCGTTCTTACTTCACAGGCACGGTGAGCCAGTAGATTTCTGTACGAAGCTAAGACGGATGGATCAAATTTTTTTGAAAACGAAAACATTTAATAGATTTTTTATTAAGAAAATCACAGGTGATTTCCCTATTGAGATAGAGGCGATTGATGCCTAATTGATGATGAAATGAAATCGATCCAAAAAGTAATATCTCAATTCGCACGTCAAACTTTGCTTTTAGAACTTACTTTAGTCGCTTATGACACTCAATCTATGACGGATATTCATTTGAGTTTAAAGAAACGCTCGAAACTTCTCAGTTTCTGGAAAAAATCATTGGTACCTGCAAGGTTTTGTTTTTAAAGGAGGAGGGAGGGGGGAATTATTGGAAATTGTTCTTACATATACGTGAATTTGAGCTTATATTTGTGTAGAAGGAAGCTACTTTAATCATAGAGATATTTGTGTAAAGATTTAGAAATGCTAAAGCTGGAAGTTGTGTTCTACAATTTACAAACATGGCTACATAACAAGTTCTTTCTTTCTGTTTTTGGAAATCATATACAGTTTGTATATATTTATCTTATATGGTTATAGCTGACTTATATGATTTATCTCGCTATAACCATATAAGATAAATCATATACAGTTTGTATATATTTATCTTATATGGTTATAGCGAGACCTTTAGATTTGGGTTCATTATTAAACGTCAAAACGCAGTTATGCGTTTGACGTTTTCAAACAGCCGAGGAGCTTATGTCCAGCGTTTAGATGTTGTGTCCCGCATGCGAAGTCCCAGAGTCACAAGTTAGGAGTTTGCAGATGGTGGTTAAGCCAAATTTTCAGCTTTAGTTAACGCCATTTTGTAAAACATGTCGACTATAACCGTATAAGATGAAGCAAACATCTTACCTGTGAAAGCGAGATGTTCCTTTTTGTTCACATTACGATATTTAAAAATTGAACAGTTAAAGTGTTGGAAAAAGATATCGTGTTTGTTTTTAATAAATTGTATATAATTTAATATAGACATCAGGGGGAGGTCGAGAATAATTTGTTTCTGCAAAGCGAACATTTCAGCGGAGATAGGTCAATTGGCATCCATGTTTTGGCATCATTGCTCAATCCACTTGGCAGGGGCGGATACAGACCAAACGTTTACCTCCCTCCAAGTAGTGTTGCCGCACATGCTTGTTTTAGCGCCGTAGCGGTTGGTGAAATTTTTCCGATCTTAAATGCAGTCTCAAACAAAGATTTCAAAATACATAAGCGCAGAAGAACAAGAGAAACTTTAATTCTGACTGTTTCGCTCAATATCAGAGCTCATCAGCATGACTAGTACTTGAGCATATGTAAATATTGACCTATAAAGTAAAATGTATAATCATTCTCGATTGTCTTTGAACGAATACTATAGGAATTTTTAATTTACAAGCTATTATTCGGTTATTTCATTCCTGGATTGGAATATGACCTCTATTAGTAAACGAAAGACTTTTGCAGTGCCAAATATTGCCATATACAAAAATTACAAAATACCAGACATTGACAACTTATTAAAACTTCAATTAGCATCGTAGTGGGACAAAACAATAGCTAAATTCAACAACAAAATAAACAGGGGTTCATTGGAGGGGGCTCGGGGGGTTCAGCCCCCCTGGTTAAAATTCTTTGTCAAGTTGGGGGGCTCAGTCCCCTTCATAATCCTTTGTGTTCAGTAAGTCTTATGTTTACGTTTCTGCCAGTTTCCCCGATATAGGAGGCGTGGCAGTCGGAGCAGTTTATTTTGTAAACTGCACCTTGTCGTTCGTCGGGTTGTTCTTTGTCCTTTATGTTCGTTAGTACTTGTTGTAACGTTGTGATTGGTTTATGTGCGACATGTATGTTGTATGATCGTAAGATACGCGAGATAGTCTCAGACGTACCTTTGATGTAAGGTATCGTTGCTGTTGTCACTGAGTTGTTCATTTCGTTGGGTTCGTTGGGTTTGTAAATGTTGCGTTCGATAAAGTCAGAGTTATAGTTGTTTTTGTTAAAAACACGTTTGGGATAGTTGTTTTCGTTGTGTAGAGCGTCCGGTGAATCACATATGATTTGTGCACTTCTTGTTAATGTTCTGATTGTGGTGGCTTTGTGTGTTGTATGGTTGTAAGATGATTGGTCTAGTAGTCGGTCAGTATGTGTTGGCTTGCCATAAACTGTTGTTTGTAGTTTTTGACTGTCATGTTTTACCAAACAGTCGAGAAAAGGAAAAGTTACGTTTTCTTCGACATCTTTGGTAAATTGCTTGTGGCTGTTCTGTTTGTTGATGTGAGTGTGAAAGTCATCAATCTCGTCTGCATGTAGTGCTGTGATTGTGTCATCAACGTAGCGGAACCAAAAAGGTAGTGCATGTTTGTATGTCGTGAGCGCCCTATCCTCTATAGATTGCATTACAATTTCAGCAACTACAACAGAAGCGGGTGAGCTCATTGCTGTTCCAGGTAATTGTATGTAGTTTGTACCTTTGTACTGGAAGTAAGTCGAGGTGAGGCATAGCTTCTGTCTCTACATAATGTCTTCTGTCAGTAATGGCAGTACGTCCGTGGTGTTTGTAATGAGGGTTTTTGTACAATTAAGTACCAGATTAAGTGGAATACTGGTGAACAGTGATTTCACATCAAAAGACACTAGTATATAGTTGTCCGGTATTTGTATAGTGCTTAGTATCTTAATGAAAGTTTCACCTTAGTATTACCTTGCGATTTTATAATTGTACTTGTTGGTAAAGCTATATTAAATAGAAGTAGAAACCTATAAAAAACATATAACCTCACAGTTGAGATAAGAATTAATCAAATTCCAACAATGGTTATAAACAAAAATGGAAACTGAAACTGAGAGTCAACCACAAGCCAAGAGGAAAAAGGTTCAAAAAAAGTTAACAATCTTTTTCTCAAGTATTACACTTATTCAAGTAGAAAACGAGCAATCAACTGAATTGCGTGAATCAATCAGTTGTAGAAGCAGTCAACCAGAGTTTGGTCACGTAGAAATTTCACGAAAGAATTTGAAAGGCTGCAATTTAAGCGTAAGAAATATTGCTGACAATGGTCGGAGTGATTCCACCAACAATGCTTGTACTTTACTTAACCAACCTTGCAAAACATTTGTCACTTCCTCAGGTAGATACTCTAATTGTTGTCAACAGACCAATACAACTACTTTAAGACGATATACCCATGGATTGTATGTGAAAATGAAAGTGTTGGATGCAGCACTTGCAAAAGAGTGAAATTGCTGTGAGTATAGGAGCATCTAGTACACAAAGTATACACTTAAAGAGTGAATGGAGTACATGCTCTTTGCGTAAGGGGGGGAGAGAAGACATTAGCACAGATAGCATTGCGCAAGAAGATACAAAAACACACAAAATATCAGGCGCACATTGCAGCTAGTACATTCTAGCTGAACGAAACGAAAGAAAAATGCTCCGTAAAATGGTGTTTAAAAGAGAAATGTTTAAAATATAGAAGCATATACTTCACTAAGTTAAATTTGAAACAAATATTTAGAATTTAATTCAAAGTTAACTTTGAGACAAATATTTAGATTTGATGTTTTTACTACCAAACATATAAAAAATATATAAAAAAAACATTTCATTTGTGCAGTGAACTTTATGTTTCTTGAATTATTTTTCTCACCAATTTCCCTTACAAAACCAACCGTTAAGAAAATAATTTCACAAAAATTTTATTTTTACTTTATTGTATTGCGAAAACTCTTCTCTACAATCATTGTCAATTCAACTGATTACCTAAAAGTGTTTACATGAACTCAAAAATATTCCAGCGGATCCTTTATTGTCTACATTTTAAATTTGTCAACTAATGTGAGCTCCGGTGCGTTTTTTTCGTAATGTTGCACAATCCCATGGGGTTCATACACTTGTAGAAGAACAAAATGGTCAGGATCAATTTTGACCTTAATAAATATTTAAATTTAATTACAGTATTTCATTTTGCTGCACAATCAAAGGATTTCATAAAATTGCTAACTTTAGTTTAAGACTGATATACCTTCACATAATAAAGCGTCCCAGACACAGCATGACTACTGTACATGTCTGCCTCATACATATCAAATTTTTGGCAATGTTTTTTTTCTGCAGCCTCCTTCACCTATATAAAACAAAATTTTACACACATTGATTACAACATTTAAATGCTAAATAGAAAAGCAAAGTTCTTCACGGGAAATAGCAAAAGGACTACAAAACATTTGTTTTGCAAGGACTTATTATCAAAACCGTATTATCCTCTTTATAAGCCTGACCATGTAGAATAAACTCTTACCTTCTCAATTCGATCTTGCATTTCAGGGCCTGCTTTTTGAAATGTGCCATGATCACCCAAGAATATACTCATTTCTTTAAAGTTTCGTGTAACTTCGAAGAGATTAAACCATATATTGTAAATTGTAATCTAATCTACTATACTTAATGATGCATACACAGAAACGATATTGATCGTACACTCAAAAGTCAAGCAATGGTTAAAAGAAATAGCTATAAATAAAATGAATGATTATTCAATGAAGTGATTTTAATAGTAAGATGCAAAAGTTGACGCGACTTAGTAAATTCACCTCAATGCTTCGTTTGAAAAAGGTTCTTGCTTCCCAGTAGACTGTCAGAGCACTTTGGAAATTTTCTAAAAGATAGCTTCCTTTTATAATGGCACGAGAAAAAAGCGTACGTGCAATCGTGTAGCAATTAACTTGATTTACGTATGCAATTAGACAATTAATATTGTAAGAAAGTAAAGAAAGAACGCCAGAAGAAAAAAGGAAGTTTTTGCATCTTGAACATGTATGGAACTCAAATCAAAAATAAACTTAATTACGTTTAACAAAATATGAACTATTTATTTGACAGACAAAGGTCTCATAGAAACAATGTCAACATAGATTATAAAGAAAAAATTAGATGATGACATTAAAGACAATAATTTCTTCCTCAATTTTTTGCAAATAAATCTTCCTTTTGAACATCATGAATCATCATAAAGTTTATTGAATTGATCAAGCTAAGTATACGAATTCTATTTAAAACCATAAAAAAATGTCTTGTAAAACAGCAAAAAGCTCAATTAGACAATTAATATTGTAAGAAAGTACAGCCCAATAGCCAGAAGGAAATACTTTTCTTGCTGTACTCATTCATGTTTTAAATACACGTCCATGAGTATTTGATGTCCGTCCAACAGTCGCGCCAATGTTTGAAAACCCTTAGCTATACCTTCAAACTTTTCTTTGAAAAAACAATTTTTTGAAACGTGGCCTTCTTTGATAACAGCATGAGCAAAAAGCGGATGTGCAGCCGCGCAGCAATTAACTTGTTTTACACATGCAATTGGACAATTAATATTGTAAGAAAGTAAAGCAAAACAGCCAGAAGGCAATATTTTCTGCTTAATAACTAAAGAACATTTAAATTAAATGAAGATATTTATATTACTATTTTATGTGGAAGTTTTCATCAAGACAAATAAAACTTGTGCTTTACAATTGGACTGTATATGCTGCATACGTATAATAAAGGTGACAAAAGTATACCAAACGCTGCTGTTCACAAACATAACTTTTCTTGCTGCTTTCATTCATATTGATATTACTACGCACTCATTAACATTTTAATACTGTCCAATGGTCGTGCATAACAGTTTGAAAACCCTTAGCTACATAAAACGTTTATTTGAGCAAAGTATATTTAAAAAAAGTGTATTTGAGAAAGTACGTCTTCCAGATGAAGTCTTCAAATTTAAGTTGAACTAAGCTAAATGTCTACTTGCACATAGCTGAAGACGGCTTAGCTGTTAATAGCTATTAGTTATTCTTATGGAAAAAAAGGAAGTTTTTGCGTCTTGAACATGTGTGGAACTCAAGTCAAAAATAAACTTAATTACGTTTAACAAAATATGAACTATTTATTTGACAGACAAAGGTCTCATGGAAACAATGTCAACACAGACTATAAAGAAAAAATTAGATGATGACATTAAAAACAATAATTTCTTCCTCAATTTTTTGCAAATAAATCTTCCTTTTTCATCATCATGAATCATCATAAAGTTTATTCAATTGATCAAGCTGAGTATACGAATTCTATTTAAAACCATAAAAAAATGTTTTGTAAAACAGCAAAAAGAAGACATGCATTCAGTCTGAATAAATAACCTTTATAGCTGTAAGTTCAATTAGACAATTAATATTGTAAGAAAGTACAGCCCAATAGCCAGGAGGAAATACCTTTTGCTTATTCAAGCAACAAACATTTAAGGTGAGAACATTTGTATCAGTAATTTTTACAGAATGTTTTATCGATCACTGTCATCAGTGCTCAGTATATGCAGTGTTTTTTCTCAGGTAAAGTATAAAGACAGTCAAAAGCATGAAAACGTTCTTGTTGTATTAGATATTGCAGTTAAACATGAGAAATAAAACTTGTGCATTTATAGTCTCATTAAGGTGCAAATATATATAAACAAGAGCAACAAAAGTAGAGGTAACGTTGTTGTATTTATTAACCACAAGCATAACATTTCTTGCTATATTCATTCATAGTTTAAATACATGTTCACGTGTATTTGATGTCCATCCAACAGTCGCGCCAATGTTTGAAAACCTTAGCTATACCTTCAAACTTTTCTTTGAAAAAACAATTTACTTGAGAATTGCGATTAACTGCGTCTTCCAGAAGAAATCTTCAATTTCAAAGATATTATATATTAAATGTATATTTGCTCGTAGAGCTAAAGACAGATTTAGTTCATAATATTACACATTTTAAGAAAAATCCTATGCATCTTGAATACGTAAAACTTAAAATAAAAACGCATTTAATTATTTGAAAAAATAATATAATTTTTCCCATCGAAAATGACCATGCTTTTTTTCCCAACTTATCACTTCGCTTTATTTTTAATGCTGGTCACCGACTGTCTGATTCTATTACCTTTAAAGAATGAATTTAAGCGTTTCTGATATCTAGTGCAGTCTGAACGTATAAATGCGTAAAGGATTGTATCTGCATAGCAAACTGCAGCGCTACTTTCATACACGATTCTCTGCCTTTGATGTGAGGGGAATGAAAGACAGCTTTGTTGTCCAGTATTCACAGTTATTGCATGTCTTCTTCTTCGATTCTATAAGTTGAACAGTAAACTAACGTTGTTATTACTCGTAACAGTAAAAGGAAGTTTTATACTCCTTCAACATGTATAAAAACAGATTTAATTAACTCTAACAAATTGTGAACAACGTGTTTCAAAGACAAAGGTGTCTTAGTATCTGTAAGACCAAAGACTCAGAATAAATTATCAAACGATCACAATGCAAAAAAATATCCTTTTTATCATCCATTAACTTTTATTGCATACAACCTTCATAAAAATTAGTACACAGTACTAGAACTGCATCAACTTCTGCGGCAAACGCATTGAATATTTCTATGGATAATATTATGAATGCAGCTACATGGCGTAATGAACAAACTTTTCAAACATTTTATAATAAACCAATTGAGGCGAAGAACTTTGGCAATGATCTACTCTCTGCCATTTGTGAGACATGAATTGTGAAATTTCAATTATATTGTTTTGTTATTAGTTATTGCTCATGTCCACATTGCTTTAAAATCTCACATGACTTCCTAGTGACGTAGTACAGTGATGAAATAGAATTAGAAAATTAAACGAGACTTACCTGAAGTCGAAGTTTGATTGAAATTCTATGAGTTACTGTTCAGGAGCTAGGAAGTCACCCACCCAACTACTAACTTACTTCTTTTCAAATGATGTTAAATACTACTTGCCTCCCAATATGTATGTGGACGTTCGCAAATTTTTAAAAACTGATCTTGATATCGCGTGCTCTATCTCACATGACTTCCTAGTTCCTGAACAGTAACTCATAGAATTTCAATCAAACTTCGACTTCAGGTAAGTCTCGTTTAATTTTCTAAATATATATAGACATATAGCTTTCTCCGGATTGTATATAAAATGATTTTATTGAGCTTTCAACTCGATGCTTTGAGCATTCATCAAAAAGATATAGGAAGTTATATACAGTTGTTTATCATTTGTAGACGCTTAGAGCGTCTAATTGGATTAGCGGGTGGATTGATGTGATTGGATGGTGTGGAATGCGTTGTCATGAGTTTTGGAGTATTGTGAATATGATTAGTGTTAATATTATTAGAGTGTAATGTTATAGTTTTGGTGTTGTTTGTAATTTTTTTCCTTTTTCTTTAGTTGTGAGTATATATGATGGGTATGAACTGACTACCGGCAGAACGTACCCACGGAAACAACCACATATTCTACTGGTCAGAAACTAAAGTACTCGGACGCACACAAAATAAACACGCACGCGAATTTAAAGAAGCTTGGCACAGTAAAGACAATGACACAATAAATAGAGATATCGACATACCCATCATATACTCATATTACTTTGGGAATTTCATGAAACGTGGCCTTCTTTGATAACGGCATGAGCAAAAAGCGGACGTGCAGCCGCGCAGCAGGACGTGCAGCAGGACGCGCAGCAGGACGCGCAGCAATTAACTTGTTTTACACATGCAATTAGACAATTAATATTGTAAGAAAGTAAAGCAACACAGCCGTAAGGCAATATTTTCTGCTTAATAGCTAAAGAACATTTAAATTAAATGAAGATATTTTTATTACTATTTTATGTGGAAGTTTTCACCAAGACAAATAAAATGTTCGTATTACATTAACACATCGCTTTCAGCTAAAGATGACAAATTGAACTTGTGTTTTACAATTGGACTGTATATGCTGCATACGTATAATAAATGTGACAAAACTATACCAAACGTTGCTGTTCACAAACATAACTTCTCTTGCTGTTTTCATTCATATTGATATTACTCACCCGTTTCGCCATTCTAAATGGGCATTACTCAGAGTTCTAAACTTTAGAATGCGGAAGATAGCCAAATTAGATTGCTTTCTGTGCTATCTAATAATGGATGCGGTGTGATGTTGTTGTACACTATTCTACAAATAAGGATAATAATATCTGAGATCGTCGCCATTTTTGTTTCCAAACATACACTAATAATCTATACCAAGGATTATTTAAATACAATGAACAACAGACCTGAAAAGTATAACAAACTTTCAAGAGAGCAAATTGATGCTCTTAATTACTATTTTGAGAATGGCATGAAATCTACTCTGTGTTTTGAGCTGATAAAAACAGCCGCCGAAGAAACGTCGTTGTCTGTGGACAAGGTCAAGGTGAGAACAACCTCCTCTTTAGTCGTCCGCCGTCTTTTAAAAATTTTTCTGTATGCAGTAAACCAACTACGAAACCAGCGCCATCAAATCAAAGCCATACGTATCTCAATAACATCCCTAAACTTGTATTCCTACTCCACAGTAATTTGTATGAAGTTCTACTTTAAACTTTCCTTTTTCAAAAAGCACATTCTTATAATGTATTGTGATATACAATGGACATTCTTTATGTACAGAGTTAGGCTGTGAAACACAGTAACTGGTGCAGCTTTATTGTAACACTTGATGTTATGTCAGTAAAAATTTCACAAAATTTGTTTGATACTGCATGTTTTGAAATTATTCAAAAGCTTCTTCACAACTGACATTATGCTTTTTTCAGAAATGGATTGGCAACAAAGTTGCTTCTGTCAAAAGAAACACAAACAAACAAACAACATTTGTATACCGGCCAGTATTAATCCCCGCCAGGGGGGTTGACCGGTCCATGAACTTTTCTACGCCAAACGTCTCTTTCTCTCGCCATATCTCTCGTTATACCCATCGCCTTCATATCACTGTTCACAGCATCCATCCATCTCTTTCTCGGTCTACCTAGTTTGCGGACTCCATCAACATTCATATGCAACGTTCTACGAATTTCAGCACTTTCTTCCCTCCTTTCCACATGCCCAAACCACCTCAAACACTGGCGCCTTACCCAACTCTCGATACACTCAACACCAACTCTCTCTCTAATCTCTTCACTTCGAATCCTATCCATCAACGTTACACCACACATCATCCTAAGCATTTTCCTTTCCGTCGACGCCAATCTTCTCAGGTCCTCTGCTTTCGGCGCCCAACACTCTGCTCCATATCCCGAACACTTCCGCACAACATTCCCAACTTCTAAACTCCACCATGCCATTTCCTCGCTTGCTCGCACCCTCCACCATCATTTAATACATCGCCCAGATATTTAAACCCGATACACCTTCCAAACTCACGTCACCCAGTTCAAACCGTTCAATCGCGACTCGCCCACCACTTCGACACGTCCCGCACTCAAAATCAGTTACTCTTGTCAATGCACCACGGACACCTGAACATCTTCCATGAAACCCACTTACTGCATTTCCCACACATTATCGAATTCACCCAACTCTTTTCCACACACACCACATGGCCATTTATCATTGTCCTTCACCTCCACCTGCCTCGAGCATCTCATGCCCTTCGTCTTTGCCTCATTCACTTTCAGTCCCTTGACTTCTATTGCCGTTTTCCATTCTCGGTACCATTCCATGACTTTCTGCTTCGACTCCGCCACCAAGACAATGTCATCTGCATACAACAAACACCAGCATCCTTCTTTTCTTCTCACTTCCTCTGTCAGTACATCCATCACACAAGCAAACAGTAACGGCGACAAGACTGAACCTTGATGAACACCAACTTTTACCTCAAAAACACCAGATCTAACACCTTCCTCCGTAACCACCGCCTCTACACCTTCATAAGTCTCCATAACTGCCCGAACCATATTCTCTGTCACACCTTTCTTACGCAGCGCGTACTCGATCACCTTTCTCGGAACTCTATCAAACGCCTTCTCCAAATCTACAAACACCATATACAATTCTCTGTCCTTCTCCAAAAATTTCTCCTGCAGCTGCCTCAACACAAAACACACATCCGTCGTTCCTCTCCCCGGTATGAATCCATACTGCTCTTCCCCCATCCGAACAACTTCCCTCAACCTTCTTTCAAACACTCTCTCTACTATCTTCAACGCATGCTCCATCAGCTTAATAGTCCTGTAATTCCCACATAACGTCGCTGCTCCTTTTCCTTTGTACAGCGGGACCACTAGACTCTTTCTCCATGTACTCGGCATCTTTGAGCCCTCAAAACCTCGTTCGCAAATTACACAACTCTCACGCATAGTTCATTGTCCAACATTTCGCTACCCACTTCACTCGGTCCCGTCGCCTTTCCTTTCTTCATCTTGCGCAGAGCCGCCACCTCATCAACAGTCACTGTTTCCCACGGCCCCAAACTTCATCCGCTAACTTCTCCATTCCACTCATTCTACATTCATCAAACGGTCACAGTACGCCCTCCACACTTCTAACCTGTCTTCCAATAACACCTTCAACTCCCCATCGGTTCTGCACGCCGGGAGCACCAAAATATCGTTCCTCTCCTTCTGCTCCTTCTAGCCGTTCTAAACAACTTTTCGTCCATTCTCAGCATTTTACGAGAAGCTCTTTCTGATGCCTTTCTATCGCTTTCCTTTCATCTTTTTCTTGAACCGGATGTAATCGATCCTATCTGCTTCAGTCCGCGACTTTCTCCACCTTTTAAATGCCAACTTCGCGCCAATCACTTCGCTGACACGTTGATCCACCACCATGCCTGTTCTTCTACTACACTGCCTTTACTTCTACAACATACCTTCTCCGCTGCCGTTAAAACACCCTTTCCAAGCACGTCCATCGCTCCTCCACCGTCTCACCTCAACATTCAATGTCGCAATTTCGTCACGGAAACACTGCTTCCCTTCATTCGATCGTAACTTCCATAGCTTAAGCCTGCCTTTACCCTCAACCTTTCTCCTCTTCACCTTCCTGATTCACCAGTCCATGACCAGCAGCTTGTGCTGGGTCACCCATTCTTCTCCTGCAATCACTTTTGCATCCTTCACGTTTTCCTCTCTTCTTCATTCACCGTATAATCCACCACCATCCCAATTCCTGCTTCCTTCCCTCACTAGCATTCATATCCACCTTCCATATCGCATATCCTTCTTACGCTTCCCACATGACCGTTCCAATCACCAAGCATCACACATCGCCCTCTAATGTCTGCTTTCACTGCATACACGCTGTCGTAGAACTTTTCCTTCTCTGCCGCACTTTGTCCAACCTGCGGAGCATACACCACAACGAAACTCACAACTTCGGCCTCAATAACTACATCAACTCTCAGGACTCTGTCCGAAACTCTCTTCACTGCTACAACCGACTTCGCCCAATCCTCTCTCATCGCAAAGCCAACACCATTGGTGCCACTTCCGTTTCCCTTCCAAAACCACTTAAATCTCGCTACATTATCTTCACCCTTTATGACTCTCGTACCTTCACCTTTAAACCTTACCTCCTGAAACCCACACACATCAACTTTCCTTCTCTTCAACATGTCCGCCACTTCTGCACTCTTTCCCTTCATTGTCCCAACGTTCACTGTGCCTACCCGAAGGGTGACACTTCCACCAACATTCGATCCGGAGATTCTTCGCACCCCTTGCCCACTGAAGGGCTGCCGGGAACTGGGGGCCATGTCTTCTTTTCCAAAGTTCATGAATTTTGTTGGAGCAAAAGTTTTACTGAAGGATGCCCTTCCTTACACCAACCCCTTTTAGTCGTCTTTTACGACACGCAGAGGATACGTTGGCGCAATTCTAAGCCGGCAACCACACGGATGTCAAAAGAAAATGTCAATCTAATAATTCGGAGTGACCCCTACCCTCATGTAATCCACCAAAAGTCCCCAAACCACTACCCAGATTACGGGGGTCAAGCGGATATAATCTATTTTGCTCAGAATTTTTTAAATCAGGTGAATGAAATATTAAATCACTTTAGTATTGTCAATAAGGGTTTAAGGAATGTTACCCATCAAGAATTTGCTATGATGAAAGCCTTGACAAATTTATCCATTATTGCAGATGAAGCAAAGGGGTTGTCTCACTTGAGTGAAAAAAATAAATTGGCTTCTGTCAAATGGATTGGTCTTGGAGGATCCGAGCAAAATAAATACATACAGAAAGCTAATGACATAAAAAACAACCCAGTGACATTAGATGATGCTCAAAGAACAAAATTGGTTGATCAGCATATGAAACTTTTAGCTGAGGAGGTAACAGTCGTTTTAATAAATTAATTTTGCAATGAATAGCAGAGGTAGCATTAAGTAATTAGAATAAATTAGAATAGGCTATTGATTGGGGAGACTTTAGTCTCTGGAAATGTACATAATTCATGGTATTCTGATAAAGGAAGTTTATATTGCCTTAACATTAGATGCATTTCTAATAGTGTTATGTTGAGTAAAACTCTTTGTTTTGAGCATGTAATTTTTGTGCAAACATGGTTGCCGTGATTACCAGATAGAAAGTTATTTCTTATTGCAAACTTGTTTTTCTTTTGGCATGAAATTTGACTTGAACGTCATCTGGCATGAAAATCTTTTTTGTATTCTGGTTGTGTGGAATGTATCAGTTGAACTGTTTCATAAGGCTATGAAAGAATTAATGAAGAAATGATTTAATAATAATAAACTATATTTAATGTTTGTGTGAAATTGAAAATTTATACAGTTACTAAATGCTGTGAAAAGTGATTGTAAAATTCTTTTGGTTCCAAAAAGATTAATCACTGAAGAGATGATTGTTGTTGCTGTTGTTGTTGATATTTTATGACAATATTTATACTTCACTGCCTTAATCACAGATGTAATGCAGACATATATGTCATATAATTTGGTTATGTAGAATAGTGTTTGGACAAAAAAAGATTCTGTTAAATTCTCCATCAGTAATGATGATCATTACAATAGCATTGATAGTATAGCATTACATTTGTAGAAATAATAATTATCATAGCAATACCAACAACAACAGAAACTATGTATAGTAAATAAAAAATAGTAGCAATAATAATAAAAACAAATGTCATCTCATGCCATATGTTAAAGTCCAAATTGTTGCAAACTATACATAGCTTTTTGCAGTACTTATGCCTAATGTGACCATTATCAATTATTTTACTTTTCTTTTAGTTCAGTTACTTGGAGTATATTCGCTGCCAGGCCAGCTGCTTACTGGTGAATGGAAAAAAAGAACTTTATGTGCTTGGTTCATCAGGAGGAAAAAGATTTGTTCACAATGAACCAGCAGCTTTGTGCAAGTTTCAAGCAATGTTTGGTAAAGAGTAAAAAATTTGCAAAGATCACAAATGCGTAATAGGCATAAAGTTTAACTTCTATTGATATGTCAGCACCAATTTCATGGATACCAGTTACTGGATGGTAGTCAAGTAGATACATATGACTAAGTTTCAGAGCTTTAATATAATGTCATGTTACGTATGGTTGCAAAATGTTCATCCCATCTCGAAATAGCATATTTCTAACGGTAAATATTAAGATATTTTTGGTATCCGATAAAGTGGTGTACGTATTTAATATCATGAAACCATTTGCTACACTGTGTTTCACGCCTTTTGGCAATCATCAGGTGAATGACAGTTTAGTTGATGCTTTATTTTACTTTTATGAATTTATATTTTGCTCAATCTATAAAGATATTGAGCATGCTTTTATAACGAAAATTCACAAACTATAATTTTATATTGACAAGCCTGCTAGGGATTTCTCACTCTTCATTAAATTCTCTAAAAAGAGTGAAAAATCACGAACCAAGCTTTTTGGGATAAAATTGTAGTTTGTATAGCTAAAAAAATTTGTATTCTATATTTGGTAGATGTAGACCTAGAAAAACAGAAATGGACTCATGATGATGTAAGAATGCTCTTTAACAAGAAGTATAGTATGTTAATTTTTTATTTATTCTTGTACGCAGGTCTTCACCATTGAGAGTGACGTGACCATACAGGTGTTATTTTAACCACCACAGGCCTGGATAAAATATTTCACTCTATGGCTGCAAGTTTAAAAAAATATTTTTTGAATAAATTTTTCATTAAATACTTTTGAAAACAGTATAATGTTGTTAATAACAGTTATGTATAAAGGTTGCCTGTATATTCCTGAATGGTAGTGTTTACCTTACAGTGATAGTTTAATTTTACCTTTTGATACACCTGCATAAAGAAATCTTCTCTGTTTTTTAATAAAAAGTATATGGAAGATACAAAATTTTTTCCTGTGAGTAATTTTGTAAACATTACCCTTTTTACAGTCATGTTGTCAAGTCATTATGATTGTTAGTTCTTGTCAGTGAGCATTTTTCTTAAAGGTGAAGCAAAAGGTGTGACTGCTTCTCGCATTCCATATCTTTCTGGTGGTTTTCATGTTGAAGGACTACCAGATAACATTCGCCTAAAGAAGCCACGACAATATGGCTCAAAGGAAATACAGAAAATCATGGACTGCCAGGACAGTATTTCCTTCATTCTTGAAACGTCAGAAGGTGCACCTTTGCAAGATTTTGGTGAAGACTGCAAGGAATTGCTTAGTAATGTATTCGGAAAATGTGACTTTAAAGTATCAAAAGAAGATGTGGAGGTATTGGATATTATTGAAACACATTTAATATAAACGACAACTTTTTTGAAAATAGACATGTTTCGACATCTCATGATGCCATCTTCAGTATGGGTGAAATAATAGGTGATACAGGGTTTATATAAAAGTAATATGATACATAAATTACAACAATAAAAAGGAAATAAGATAAATTAATGAGGAGCGTCCGAGCGTATTATAAACTAAATATTGTATTGAATTTAAAACTTGAACATTGAGGTCAGGGTTAGTTTTGTTAATGTGGAGTGCTTCTTTGATTTTAAGGGTGAATGAGGTGTCGGCAGTGTCGATGATTTTGAAACAAGAGGGTGAATAGTTGGTTTTGCATGAGTGAGATTTAAGAAGGTGTCGGTAGATATGAGAGTTTTTGTCTGTTGTGGTATGTTCCCTGATTCTGGTGGATAAATGGCGCGAAGTTTCGCCAATGTATCGGGAATTACATCCCGCGCAATTAAATTCATATACCACCATAGATTTAATTGAATCAGGGATTGGGTCTTTAAATGAGAAAAGGTTTTTGATTTTGAATGATGTGAAAATTAGTCGAATGTCAATATCTGTACAGAAGCGTTTCATAATGTTTGTAAGTCTGCGTTGTGTGTGTCGTGAGTAATGTCCGATGTATGGTAGTTTGAAGTATAGAGTTGTTATTTTGGAATTTCACACCAATGAAAAAAATTCATTGTTTACAATGGTAACAGGTAGCACTGCAATATGTGCATTGTGATCAACTCAGTTTTCTCATGTTTTCTAATCAACTCATGTTTTTTTAAAAGGTAATATTCTTCTATTCACATATAAGCCATGCAGAATGTCTAATTCTATAATTAAAATTTCGAAGATTAAAGCCCAAAAGTAAAAACTACATTATATAGAAAAATAAATTTTTTTGGGGGGTTCTACCTTTCACCTACACAAAGACATGCACAATTCACTGGATGGGCAAATAAGATATCATATTTGTAAAAATAACTGTAATAATTGAGATACTTATGCATTAGTAAAAAATATTTATGTTTGTGCAATATGTTTTAAATGTCTTGCTATTGACAATGCATTGCAACCAGAAGAAATAGCTTTGGACAATTGAGTTAATTTCTCTTGCTGGCGTAATGCACTGGTGTCTTTTATTGCAGGGAGAGTAGCTACTTTATGTAGCAAGACGCCAAAGTCTAAGCAGTCTTGCTGACTTAAGTTGTTGGCAAAACTTCCACATAAAGCATTGACTTCATTAAGATTCAGAAATACTGGGACCCAAACTTTTTTCTTTTCTTTCTGTTTCACAACAATAATGTTTTGATCTCCAAGACCTCCACGAGCAAATCCACAAGAATGCAACAACTCTATGCCTTCCCATATCTTAATTAATAAAGATATCCACTCGGCAAAAGTGATTCCATGACTATAGCACAATCCTTTTCAAGGACATGTACACTCCAGTTCCTACATGACCATAAAATTTTGTTATTAAAATGAATGGCTTTTCATCGTGACAAATACCAATTACGATTGGAAAACATGGATGAGATGGTAAGCTAAGAATAGTTCTTGCTTCCTCAATTACATCAAACTCAGATTTCCTCACTGCAACTGCCATTCCTCTAAACCAACATAACTCCATGCTATCAAAATTCCCATTTGGGAATGAATATGTAGGCTTCTTTGATGAGGAACGTAGCAATTCCGACCGATTGATACTCATGCAATCAGGTAATCCACATAGCATTTTATTCTCAGTTGAGCAATCTATGAAATGAGACAAGAAAATAAAGTTTGCTCCATGTCCAAGGTAGTTCTTCTCAAGATGGAAAATCATTCCCCCCCACCAAAAAAAGGTTCTCAATATTATATACAATTAACACCAAAAATTAAGCCCTTCCTCCAATTATTCTTATCGTGTGCCTCTGAAATTTATGTTAATTAGGGACTGCGCTAGCTATTTAAAACCATACCATTTTCCGTATGACATTGGTTAACATTTTCAATGGCGTCGATGTGGCTAATGCCAGAATAAAAGTAGACATGATTGCTATGAATTCGCTTCACCGTAGGAAAACAATTTCGCACAATGAACCCACACTCTCGAACAGATACACTCTTATATTTATTTCTCAACACATTTAGAACATCTGAGCATTTTACGCGACATAAGGAATCTTGATGAAACAGAGTTGACAACCTATAATAAAGTCATGTATAACGATTAAGGACACAAGCGACTGCGTTCACGGATTCCGGTTGACAAAAAACACCACAAGTGGAGACATTCTCACCAATTTGCACGAGCTTCTCGAAAGTGAGACGGTTTATGTTTTCTTCTTGATGCATCTTTTTTCGGCATTGCTTCAAATCAAATGACATAAATGGGCTTTAATATGGACGGGCAATACAGTTTATAAGAGTATGCAACATATGTGAGTAATGTCCATTGTCCATATATAAAATAAAAACAATAGTATATGGGGCGCCAAATTGGACTTTATTCTAAACTTACAATACTACACAACATACTAAAATTATACATGGCAAACTTTATATACTTCGAGACAAATCTAAAAAATATATGCGAAACTTGCTGTAGGACATTCTAAACTTTTCATATACGTTCGAAACTTCTTGTATCGTATCGTCAAAATTTATAGCGTTCCAATTTTCATATACGGTATGGCGAACTTTTTACGTAGCGTTCCAATTTTCATATACGGTATGACGAACTTTTTACATCGTGTTCCAATTTTCATATACGGCAGTGGCGTGCGGTCAGGCAAGCGTAGGCAAGCGCCGCTTGCCTAAGCATTTTACCGAACAAAAATTTTTTGGATCAATCTCTGAGCAAAATCAGTTTAAATTTTTCTGTTCTAAACAATGTCAATGTAATCTTTTGTCTAAATTGTCTTTACAGTTGAAATGCTTGCTATTTATACGCGATTTACTGTCGTGGTTTTCGGTTTCACTTTGCTACACTTGTAAGATGAGTCAAGTGGATTAAATACACCTTAAAAATTTCTTATTTATTAACCAAGGCAAGCGCGCTTGCCTTCGGAGCTCAATTTGAACATTTGCGCATGCAAAAAATCTAGATTTGGAGGCTTCTTATTCGAGGAATATCGAGAAAAGGCAAGCGGCGCTTCTAAGGGCGCCGCTTGATAGCGATTGGTCAACAGTCTTGTACGCTCGCAATTTTAAACACATATCAGCGCGCGAATAATATTCGTATATTCAACACATTGGACATCCGAATTATTCACGCCGTTAATGTTATCGTTTATTAAAAGATGACTGAGAGCGAAAGGTAATGTTCTGATTTCTAATTCAAAGTAGTAGGTGCTTTACTGGTTATTTTATTATTTTCTGCGCACAATGTGCGTAAACAAGCAGGGGCCGCAGTCTGCAGAGATATCGAAATGCACGCAAACGTGTGTTGTGGTAAATTATGACTAGCATTATGACCAAAACACTATGCTCTTGTCAGTCTTGTGTCGTTGAATTCGTAAATTAATGTCTAAAAATAAAAGGTACAAGATACTAAATAATAAACACGACTCTCCGATATTCTGAAACGTACGAGTCAGTGCCAGACACATTTTGAAGAACGGGAGAACACGTTGCCACGACGTCATTATACCAAAATATAAACATTAAACAACGCAATGGCCTCAGTTTGTAACACACCGTGCCAATTTTGTGCGCGAAACTGGCTGTTCTTAATTGTTATAATCACGACTGCTACAATACATTTCGCGCCTATTGTCTTGCAATTTATGTATGTAGAAGATATTATCTGTAGCATATAATACAAGATTATGATATTGACAAGAGCTTCCTTTTGCGTAGTAGTTTTGATATTTGTATCCGGTAGATATCATGTAACTGATGTAAGGTATAAATAAGATTGATGTTCCTATAAAATATATAGCATAGGAATTTTCATCCTTTTATGTTCTACTTCTACATTCGGTATTTTCACGACACCTGTACAACATGACTGAATGCATTGTGGAATCACTGTTATCCCGCTCATTTGGATTGAGACCTTTTTCCGAGAAACGAGAGATCGTCGAAGGTGGCCGTCCCACTCCTGAGTTGCAAGGACTACATACAACATCCAAGCGAAGTGGTAAAGTCTTTATTCGAAGTTTTCAGACGTCAAATTACGACAAGTACAAATGGCTGGCTGGCTCCTCAAAATTGAATAAGTTATTTTGCTGGCCGTGTCTTTTGTTCAACTCAACAGACAAGACAGTCTGGTGCAAGAAGGGATACGATGATTTGGCCAACCTTTGTAATGCCGTCAACAGACACGAGAAAACGAAGACACACTTGTCCAGTTGCCTAATGAATGCCAGTTTTGGGCGTACACGCATCGACATGCAGCTAGACGAACAGGCCCGTCAACACATCTCAGCTCACAACTTGATGGTGCACAAGAATAGAGAAGTACTTCGCCGTTTCATTGATGTTGTTTGCTTTCTTGGCAAACAGGAACTTTCTTTCAGAGGTCGTGGAGCTGGAGGAGTCTGCCAACAGGGGCAATTACGTCGAATTGATAAAACTGCTAAGTGCATATGACCCCACGCTTGAACAGCATCTTCATACAGCAACCGTGTTTTCTGGACTTTCTAATCGTATCCAGAACGATTTGATTGTTGCTGTCAAGGACATTATGTTGAAAGCAATAAAAGATGAAGTGATGAGGAGCCCATTTGTCGCTATTTCCCTGGATGAAACCTCCGACGATAAGACCTTATCGCAGCTAACAACTATAGTTCGCTATGTCAACCCAGTGGTAAAGCTGTGGAGCGCTTTCTTGGATTCACCGATGTAAGTGAGGATAGAACTGCGGCTAGACTGAAACAAGAAGTCGGTAAAACCCTGAACGAGTACGGATGCGGCGAAAAACTGATTGCCCAAACGTATGACGGTGCGAGTGTGATGTCAGGAGAACTGTCCGGTTTGCAAACACGAGTAAGAGAAGACTATCCACATGCTCTTTTTATCCACTGTTGCGGACACGCATTAAATTTGGTCCTTGTTCAAGCTGTCTCGTCAACTAAAGAGTGTCGTATATTTTTTAAAACCGTCACTGGTCTTTCATCCTTTTTTCACGCCTCGTCCAAGAGAACATACCTGTTGGACACAGTTGTCGGCAGACGCATTCCCACTGGAACAGCTGTTCGATGGCACTATCAAAGCAGGTTAATCCATGCTGTACTGGAGACAAGAGCAAAGCTGCTCGAAGTTTTCGAATACATCATCGAAAAGGATGATGAGTTTGACGGTACGACGTTAAACGAAGCGAGGGGCTACCGACAAGTTCTTGCAGATTTCCAGTTTGTGTTCTGCCTTAAAATATTTTCAGAAATATTTGGTCTTACGGATGTTTTGTATAATATCATTCAGAGTAAGCAGTTCGATATTGTCTTCTGTGTCACGAAAGTTCGCGAGACGAAAGATAAGATTCAAGAACAACGAACAAAATTCGTAGATTATTGGAATTTTACGTCAAGTATCGTCAAAGTAGCACTGAAACGCGGGCAAAGTGAAGAGGATGTAAAGGCGTCCTTCCGTCAAATGTTTTTCTGTGTAGTCGATACCATTGTCGTGCAGATTGACTCTAGATTCGAAAGTCTTAACAGCAGAGCATTCGTTTCTTTGTTGGATCATTCAAAGCACGAATTGTACAGCCGGAATTTTCCCGAACGAGAGCTGCAATCGTTGCAAGATTCATATGGAACATTCTTTAATCTTCAAGCACTAAAAGTGAACTAATCGTTGTATACGCATCTGCCGAGCTCAAATCGAAACCTGTTTTGATATGATATCAAAATAATCGAACTTGACTTGAAAGCCTGTTTTCCAGAGGTGTACCGATTGTGTCAGCTCATTCTTACTATGCCAAGTACGTCCTCCTCTGCAGAAAGATCATTTTCGGCTCTCAAGCGTATCAAAACGTATCTTCGCAGTACACAAGGGCAAGAGCGACTTTCTGCATTGGCTACAATTTCAATCGAGAAGGAGATGTTGGTAAGTTTGCAGGGGAAGCCACGATTCTATGAGGACGTTATAAAGGAGTTTTGCGCAAAGGAAAGACGGATGGAATTTGCATTTAAGTAAATCTGTTGTAGGATTTGGGACTATTTCGTTCTGTTACTTCTTCACTACAATAGAAATGCACGCGTAGCCATTTACTTAAAACGACTTTATATCACAATACCACATGTAATACTTTTAAACCGTAATTGTGATATATACTCTATAAAAGTTTTTGAATTTTTTCGATTTTTTCAATACTGTTTCAGTCATGACAGATACATTTTTTTCGACAAAGTACTCCCAGAAATCGCGGGAAATGCGCTCCAGTAGCCTTCAAAATCCAAAAATTTTCTGGGGGAGCATGCCCCCAGACCCCCTAGATAGGTTCGCGGCTTGCTCACCCCCAGCGCTTGCCTATTAAATTCGGTCACCGCACGCCACTGATATACGGTATGGCGAACTTTTTACATCGTGTTTCAATTTTCATATACGGTATGGCGAACTTTTTACATCGTGTTCCACTTTTCATATACGGTATGACGAACTTTTTACATCGTGTTCCAATTTTCATATACGGTATGGCGAACTTTTTACATCGTGTTGCATAATGCTTTGCGATCCCACTTCGTTTACAGGTTTACGCGCTTTTTTCTCAAATTCAAAATGGCGGGTTTAGGAGGCATTGGAGGCTCGGAACACAGTCTTTATTCATTCTTTCAGAGAACTAAAGCAATTATTGCTGAAGCACAGCATTTTATCATTTCAGAACACCTATTTTTTGACAATATTGACGGTTTAGAGCGCATACATGAGCGACTTTCAGATGCTGGAGACACTGTATTCACGTTAAAACAGTCAGCCCAGTCTGGATTAGTTTGGTCCGTTATAGCCTATGGTTTACCTGCCATTGTGAACAAAACAACAAATGGTATAAAATAACACAAACGAACGCAACAAAGCTTTTTTCAACTCATTGGCTTACCAGTAACAAAATGAAGGCTACACACTCGTAAATACGTGCATTTAGAATCATCAATGTCTGCCCGACGAATTCTTCGAAGCCACAAAGAACGACGTTCCTTGTGTAAATCTTGCAATATTTTGCTTTCATTGGTTTTCACAGCTGGTATGCGATAAAAACTTAATTCCTTATCCCTATCAGCACGCTTCGAACAGCCATAAATTGCGCAAAAGTTAACCATCCTTAACAATAATATTGCTTTGTTATTTACATGTCGCGTTTGCTTGTCCTCCAGATGTAACGTCACCGGGATTGTGACGTCTCATGCAATGGGTCTATATGCAAAATTTGTTGATGCAGTGGTATATTTGTAAGTTTGTTGTAAAATGTAACATGCCGTTGTTTGTTGGTCGAAGAAAAGTTCAACATCATGACATTAATAGTTTGGAGAAGTTTATGGAAAGCTTTCCTCAACTTGAGGTAAAATGAAATTGTGTTCCACAGTTCTACTTTCATCTGTATTTAACGTACGTTTTTGTTTACTGATAGTTCGTAGAATTGAGTCAATTGACTGAACTTTTTGCTTTAAATCGTGCTATTGAAATTCCCAAGACTTTTGAAATTCTTCTCATTTCTTCGTCCTAGTTATTCAACCACGTACAAAAACAACAAGTGAATATACACAAAGAATTTATTTATCAATGTTTCAGCTGCCTTCTGTAGCCTTTAAATGTATTTGTGCTAATGTAATTTCCTTTTATAAAGACGCATACTCGATGTCTGAAAAACATTTAAAAAAACGATAATATTGTTAACTGCATGTTGACATGTTTCGTGTAAAACATATGCTTTATCTTCAATTCATGGGACTTAGCGCAAGGGTGCTAAGGGTGCACTCTTAACCCAAATAGGGTATAAAAGGGGTGCGAAATTTACTATGGATTAAAATCCTAGTGTTTCAAACAAATAAACAAAATCAATTGTGATTTGTGTTTAATAAAGCATGCTTCCAAAAATTCTTCTCGCCAAAAGCAAAAGGAAACAGATTTTAAGAAAAAATCTGTGCATGGTTCAGGTACAATTAGCCACTGAATGAAATCCAATTCAAACTAGAGTATTCTCTCTAAAAATGCAATTTGCATTGATCTTTGTCTGTTGAGTGAGTGATTAATTACAAGCCAGTGAACATATTGACTTTAGTATAACTTCCAATAACAGTCATGCATAGAACATTTACCAATCGAAAATGTTGTCGAGGAATTTGAATCTGTTTTTTAGTTTGTGATTTGGGTTTTATGTGCTAAATGCCTCTTTTAGTTTCATGAAAAATCATTTCAAAACAGTAAACAGTGTCTTGATATGCTTTTGTATTGTATATTTATTACTTGCATAATATTATCTACAATGAAAGGTATAATTTTTATCTACAGTGTGCTACAGCCTGTGCTATGATCTACCAAAATATTTACTATAAACTTTCAAAATTTGGTCAAGAGTTAATTTTATCATTAAAAGTTGATAATAAAATTTTTGCTTCAGAAAACATCAAAAGGTTTTGCTCTGGAAGAACCCACAAAATTTGATGGAAAAAAGATTTTGTACATTGGGCAACGAGAGTATGGAACAGTTGCTTTCAATGATGGTGAGTAAAAATTCAGAAAATCGGCACAGCCACCATTGATTCTAGTCTTGGTTGATAAAGTGAACATTGGTCTTTGATTCAATTTAAACAAGATGCTTACCCATGAAATGTACACCTGTGCTAATTGGGTCAGGATTTCATTATATTTGCATATAGTATATTGCTTATATTGCTGAAAATCTTGAAAAAAATGGAATCTCACATGCGGCAGTATATTATATCATTGATCATGTTTAAGTGTATGTTTATAAGTGACACCAGGGCTTAACTTTAAACTAGGGTGCTTGTTCCTTTAAGGATGGGTCCCCAGCAGTCACAAATAATGTGTGCTATTTTGTGACAAGACTAGAAAATCCAAACTAGTTCAAACTTTTGTTAGCCTGAGTATGTTTTCATAAACTTTGCCATTTCATTGCACATCCTAAGGTAAAATGCAGATGCATGTTTGAGAAAATTTGTCACCAAAATATAAGTGCCAGTTATTGACTATTTTAATAATTTGCTATGACAAAAACCACATTTGAGAAAATCCTCAAATTTGATTTCCATATTTTAAAAGTCAAAGTTTATTTACATTAATTGTTTTATGTCAATTCTATATACAGTCAGTGTCTTCTGTTTTAAAGTCAAGAGTAACCAATTGCTGTTTTTATTTTGTAGTTTTATTCGTTATTGATGCATTTATGAAATCAAATGTTTTAATTAGAGCCTTAGAAATAGACCAAAAGTTGTAAAATTGAATATATTGTGACGTTTCGTCTTTACTCTAGACATCTTCAGACAAGTAATAATTAATTAATAAGATGTTAAGACTTGTGATATTATATTTACAAAAAGTAAATTACTACAAAAGAGGAGGTGTCAAATGGATTACATGATAGGGAAGTTAAGAAGTAAAAGTGAAATTAAAAGAGGTTAAGTGGAATGGAACTTCCTTGCACATTAAGTGAAGGCTAGTATTTATTGATTAGAAGGCTCTCATGAATGGAGTGTTCATAGGAATCGTTAGAAGAGGAAATTATTTTCAAGTCGTCTAGGTTGGGGGTGTGTCCTGTTGCGTTAATGTGAGCAAAAATGCTCGATAACGCAAGGCGGAAAACTTGGTTCTCTGTATGTGGAGATATTCCAAAATGCTCTGAAAATCTGGTGTGTAGAAGACGTGTGGTTTGACCCACATACGAAGCCTTGCAGTTTCGACACTTAAATAAATAGATTACACCAGATTTTAGAGGTTTGGGAATTTTGTCCTTAAAGGGAAAGAAAGAAGAGATACGTTGGGAAGGGCAGAAGCAAATTTAATTTATTTATGTGGGAAGGCTGCAGCACAAAGGCTATTTGTGTGAGAATTTGAAGGGAGTACATGCCGGTGAAAGGAAGACAAAAATAGACGTGTGATTTGGTCAAATATACGTGAAGGAAAACCGTTTTTGATGAGTGACTTTCTGGTAAATTCGAGTTGTGTGTGAAAATTTTTGTAAGTAGAACAAAGGTTGAAGATGCGGTGAAGTAAGCAGGAGACTAGTGAAAGTTTGTAAGTAAGTGGGATGAAGCTGTGCAGGTTAGTGAAGAGGCCAGTGACATTAGGCTTACGGTAGACGGAAGTGGCGAATTTTCCATTTGTACGAGAGATGTCAATGTCAAGAAATGATAGTTTTCTGTTTTGTTCGACTTCAGCTGTGAATTTTGATGTTTGGGTGTTGTTGATTCAGATAGTCAAGAAAGGGAGGGACGTGATCAGAGGAATGAAAAAGTAAAAAACAGTCGTCAACTTTAAAGCTTAGTGTTTTAAACAACATATATTAGGGGGTGGGGGGTGGGGCTCATTGAGTATGCGGTTTTGTACGGTTTAATCAAGCAAAACATGCCATTCCTACAGAATTGAATACATACTTTTAATCTGATTTGTAATCCGTTAAAACTCTTTAAGATTCGGTGATGGTATTATTTGCGATTTCTAGAGTATCAAGCAGATATTTTCTAATAGTTCCCATATTATGTCAACATATATAATCCTGATTACCCATGATGCTCTGTTTTATGAAAGAATGTTTTGATCTTCGCACTTTGCTGGACAATTTAAGCAATTGTCTCATGAACCTGAAAAATTCAGGTGACTCAACGGGATTCGAACCCATGACCTATGCGGTGCGGTGCACTGCAGCAAAGTGCCAAGATCATATTTTCATTTAATTTCAAACACCGCACTGCATATAACATTCTTTCATATGTCATTCCTTTCACGGGAAAACATGAGCCCAACAAATTAACCTGCTCTCCACTGTGTGACTTCATAGCTCTGTTGGTTAGAGCACTGCACCTGCACCGCAGAGGTCATGGTTTCGAATCCCGTTGAGTTAACTGAATTTTTCAGGTTCATGAGACAATTGCCTAAATTGTCCAGCAAAGTGCGAAGATCATATCTTCATTTAATGCTCTGTTTTGTTGAAAGGTCAAGTGAACTAAACCTAGTTGCGTTGAGTTTGTTTTAGAATTTCTTACGTGTTAATCCGAATTCCTGCTATACGTCTATCTTAACAAAAAACCAGAACACAGTTATAAAGGCTCTGTCAAGTCTGTTTACAGGAACGAAGCTTGGACGCTAGTTAAAGGGTTAAAGGAGGGGGTCGTTCATATATTCAGCTCTCTATGACTGTTTTGAAACACGACGCCTATCACGCGCTCAGTCGAGCTACTTGAGCGAGAACAATGTTTGGTTATATTTTTGTTTTATATAGCAATTGCCAAATAGCACAACAAAATCCACCCAAAATTGGCAATACAATGTCACATGTGGCAATGTAATATAAAAGTAAATCATGTAACATGAATTGATAGTTCGTGTTAGTAACCATCCAAGAAAGTTTTTGATTGGTTGAAAGAGTTTGTGTCAGTCACGCATGATTTATGTAAAATGACTTGACCTTGTAGCAAGCTTCAAATTCGAATTCAGCATGTCGAAAACTATAGAATACCGTTCATAAAATTTAGCACCGCAATTGCTTCTCGCATTCATTCCCTTTTTCTTCCTTTTAGACTTGATCGACGTCATTGGTTCGGATAGCGCTACAACTTGTCAGATTGTTGTGATCCGTCATGAAGGTAATTCGCCACATGTTCTGTCTTCTTATCTATATTGCCTCTTGCAATTTGAACGAATTCATTTATGAATGTCTTAATCCGTAGAAGACAATGGATTTCAAGGAACTTAATACGGCTGAACATGCCAAACTCCAATAGTGCTATTGTCGTTTAACTCCGTGTAAACTAACCAAAGGGTTGCAGCAGCCATGCACAAGTTTTCAAAACTGAGCGTATTTCTTTTCTTAATGTTTTTTTGTTATTTTCATACTGTTTTATTTCACGTTAACTTATTCAAAAAAACACAAAGCTAATAGCTTTTATGAAAAGCTGTACCATATTATTGATTAAATGGGCTAACCTACGTATTAGCTAGGTTTTACTCTAAGGGAAGATATAGAGGTATTCAAAATTTATTGATTTTGGCATCATTTTTTCAGTAGGTGCCTTAATTTTTGTTGAGGTCGTACAAGTATCAACTGTCATTTCTAAACTTGCTCATGCCTCTTTTATTTAAACTTGTGTTGTATAATGACCATTTCAGAGTCAGATTGAGGTTAAAAGTTATCGATTATATGTGGGGTTTATTTGCTATGAAATTAGGGCACATTCGCCTCACTCATTCGAAGAAAGTTTCCACCGTTCAAATCGTAGTTCTGTCTGATTATCATGCGAGCAAGCGGCCTTTTAGCACAATTCTAATTTGCAATATTTGAAAATTAAAAAATTGAATTCTGAAGCATTGTGTCAGTTTATCGCAAGCGGTCGGAGTTTATGAACAATTGCAAGTTGCCGTTATACATTTAATATTATGTTGCTTACTGTGTCAATGTTTAAATTTAATATATTATTTGGAAGTTCTTCCTTACTTACTTTTTTTTTGTTCAGGTACAGGAGATTGTAGTTTAACCCATTTAGATGGTGCGAGCACGAAACAGGCGTTAAAAGACATGATTGGGTCGCTCGAAGCCCTTGCTCAAAATAGAGGTCAACGTAAAAGGTAAAGGATACAGTCAAGTTGTAAAATATTTTTTGATCAAAACTTGATTTGTAAGAAGTGCCGTTCACCTGCATTGCTTGAATTGTTGCTTTTTATGCACAAACCAGCAAGGGCAGTTTTAGTTATATTCAAAATAAATTAGCTACTTCAACGCATAGATTGGCTAATTTTTTATTCCTTATAGAAATTTATGACCATTGACTTTGTTATAAAGATATTTTAAATTAAAATTAGCGGTTATAATACATTTTGTCTTGAGATGGATCCGCTACTGCAAAGTGCAAACCAGTGAATGTAATTTAAAACTCTCAATCTCTTTAACCTTTTTGCGAGCTTTGATGTATTTAATCAGAGTCTTAGTTAGCTCTCGTGTAAAAGTTTACTTTGCCAAACGGTGTTGGTGAGCATTTCCCTGAAATGGAGCCTGCCTGCAAAGATTTCCAAAACTATATTAACTATGATGTGTTATTATAGATGTTAATATGTATATGTTAATTTAAGCTAGGATTATTGGATGTAGTGTTTCGTGTATTTATTGCTTTGTCATCTCAAAGTTCACAGACTGCGGCACTAGTTAGGAGGATTAGGAGAGGGATATGACCTTACTACTTTGCGTGGAAAAGTGCAGACTATCCTACAATGTTAATATTTGCTTTGCGCATGAGTGTAAAAATACATTAAATGACGCCTTGGTGTTATAGGTATCAGCTACACATCGTTGGTGGATTTTTGGACAGTCGCAGAATGTCAGAAAACTTCTTTATGATGATATTAAGTAGGTTGCATAACGTTAATGTGTGCAAGGCACTTTCTTACATTCATGTACCTTCATCTCACTAATATTCCACTGTTTTGCGTTATTTTAGTGCAACGTAGTAGTATTGAGTCAAATGTTCTTTCTCGTCTTATAAAAAACGCTTGTGCAAATTACTACTGTTATGCGTTACGAGCAAAAACATGGACTTGTACGGTTACTACTTGCTATGTCCATGATATTTCGAAGTTGTTACCTGGGGGTGACCTATCCTCAGTGAACTCATTAAATAACTGGAACGATAACTTCGTCGCCATCTTTGAAGCGAAGCATGATGCTTATTTTTAGGTATGATCCAGGCTCCTGGATGCCATACAGACGCGCGGTCTAGTTCATTTTCCATATGAAAAGCAATGAGCGACTTAACAACTAGATAACATTTAACCGTTGTCGATACAGTTATAGATACACGGGTATGACGTCAATTGTGATAAAAACTAAAAAAGTGGCTACGAGCCGCCGGGACTGGGTCTTCGTGAATATCTTTGGTTTCCCATTCAAGGAGGTATTGCGATAAGTTTTCAAATACATCCGCCATTTGTGTTTGTTTTTATAAACATGAAATTTTCTGTGACGTCATTTCCGTGCGTATGCCCTCTTTTTGATCATAGCTCTCGACCAATAAAATTGCTCAAATTCTTCTGGTTATTGTATAATTTAGTATAAGTTTTGTTCTTTCGTTTGTTGAGCTAAATCAAGCTTTGTTTTACCAGAAGGCAAAAATAGCTGATGGCTTTCTAAGAATATGTAAATTATAGACCTTTGCTGAATGGGGATGTTTCGGATGAAAGAAGGCACGTTCGGCGAAAAAGTAAGCCGTAATGTTTTCAAAACATTGTTTTTCTCATTGTCTACGAGGAATTTGATGAAAAAAACAAGCAATGAAATGTCATTTTTACGTATATCTTACCTTTACAATAATTTCGATCATTGTTAGCTGTATGTCAGAAAAAATCAGCATTTTAACCGAAAACTAAAGCTCTCGAGTCATGTGAACATTTTCCGACTAAAAACAATAATCGTCAACATCTTCAAATGACTGCTCGTTGCTGTATTCCGTTTTTCACAGCTTATTTTTTCAGAAAAATGAATATGTCATTAAAGCTTCTTTTACATAACAATCGTAAAGTTTAAAGTGCATATAAACCTTACGTGGTTTATATGCACTTTAAACTTTAAATCAGACAAATATTTTGCGCTGTACAGTCTATCAAAGTTGCAAAAATATATCATTTTAAGCCCTTGGTTTTACCGCTAAAGGACTGGGCCTGCGCGGTCGGGTGACGACATGTAAGTAATCGCTTCCTGAACATTATAATAATTTAACAAGCTACTTTCTTTACTTTTGTCACATCATGCCAAATGCCCATGTATTTGCAAGGCGATATACCAAGTTGCAAGGACAGACACCGGTAAAAGACTGTCCTACCACTCTATATCATAATTTGCATTTTCTGATGAATCTGAAGATGATGTTTCCGAAAAGATGAGGACATTTTGAAAAAAAAACGACCCAAAATTCGAAATATCGGCAAAACTCTTCATTATTTTAAAAAGCAAATAACTTGTTTTTAATAGAGCCTACGCGACTGTGTTCCTTACATGACGTCACAACATGTACTAGATACCAGACCCCATTGGGGGAAAAATGTATTGAAAATCTGGACTTTTAAACTGCAATTGCGAAGAAAGCTTTAATCTCAATTCATTTGTTTTTTTTTTAAATTTGTAGTTTTCGAGTACTGCTCTTTCAAACTTTACTAAAATCCTATAAGTTTTATATGCACTTTAAAAACACTACGTATTCAATGTTTTTTAAAAGTAAAACTCACACAACATTGTGAAAACATTGCCATGTAGGCGTGTTTTATATATTCGTGGTAATCCACGCACACAACACGCGTATTTTTTCCTACAAAAAATCACTCCGCATTGGCTTCATTTTGTCATATGGCTTCTTTATTCGAGTTATCGTTCCAGTCTTTTCATTGAGTTCACTGCCCATGCTTTGTTAGACAAAATTAATTAATGACAATAAATAATGGTATAGTCACAGAATAATGATTATACAGAAGGTGTACAACGCGTCCTCATGTCGGCCATTATTCCAGCCAGATGATTAGCATTTCTCACTTGTTTACAACCAATAAAATTACATGACGTCAATACTGAATAATGACTACAAGTATAGTTTAACTTAAGAAATGACTTCGGATAATTTTAAAGGTTTGGAAAAAGTCAAAAACCCTAATCATCTGGCTGGAATAATGGCGGCCACCATGCGCGGCACGAGATGCACGACGACAAAAACATCAGAGATTCCGACACGAGTGACTCTTCTGTATATTCTTATTCTGTGATATAGTTACGAGTACAATTACGGATAATTGAGCGCTAGTGAGTTAGCTGCTTGAAAATTGCAACGAAATATAGCGAGTTTGAAAGACGAGTGCTATTCACAGTCTTCACTCTTTAGAAAAGTTACGAGTTTATGTTTTGCTGTAATTCACAAGAAACTATTCTATTTAACTTGCCCATAATATATTTTGAGATGTTTTGCACAACGCCGTCTACATCTGTCTCACTCCGTAGCTAACTCTCTAACGGTTTAAAAAGCCTCTTTGCGCTTCTCGATTTTTATAATCATTCAACAAAAAAACAACAGTACTTGTTGTTGTGGTTTTATTCTTTGAATTTTTTTTCTAATACTTTAATTTAACCCGATTGCAAATATGGAAATCTTTTTTAGCTACTTACAACTGCTGCCATGTTTTTTAAATATAATTGTAGCTTGTTTGGCTTTCGCTGCTTTTCAGACAATGAAGTTACATTTTTTTACAGTGCAATTACATATTTTCACAATGCAAATACATACAAACTGCACTACAATCAACCAACCAAAAGTCGATTAATATCTGTAATAATACGCATGAAAAATATATTAATTCTGGTAAGTTTGCAGTGCAATTTTTAGTAAATACCAGTGCAAAGAATAGGAAATACCAATGCAAATAATTGAACATTTTACATAGGAAATAATAATGCAAAAAATTTTTTTTGAATTAAAAACTATAGTGGCTATATATAATTTATCTAACCGTAGACTGACTTCTGATTGTAGTGTTGTTAATTTTCAATTTCACTGCGTTCCATAGCAACGAGCTCAACAAAAAAGACAGTTATGTGCTTTATATAATTTTCAATATGTGCTGGCTAAACTTGATGATCATTTATTGTCCTTCATAACTGACTTTTTCATTGCATTATGGACAGGCCTTAAAATTGGAAGGCCTAGAAACAAATCACGCGAGTACCCTAACCACTACATAAACTCTGTAATATGTTCATATTTGTTTTCGCAACAAGCTAACCATGCCATTAGTCTATCCTTTTGATCAAGCCTTTCGTCTGTTCGTCCTTGTTATAGCAACTCGTTTGGTTTGTTAAAAACAGATTCAAGTTATTCACTTATTTCATATACTTATTTCAGGTGTTGTAATGAATTTTTCAGTTGACGTCGATTTAGTGTGTGCTCGTGTTTGTGGTAAGTGCAGTTAATTATAGCTACATATATTAGCTAGTAGTGCTTTTTTTAAACTATTTTAGAGATAAAGAAATACTGGTAAAGGGCATGCCATGCATGCCTCTTTTGTGGTGGTACTGTTGTTAACCAAAATTGGCATCACTCTAGCATTTATAGCATGTAGCTATGTCGGGTGCTTTTTTCGAAACTGGATTAGCGCCTCACCTCATAAGTTGCATTTTTTGTCAGGAAGTTTACCTGACCCCATTATCTTTTTCGCTTCAATAAACTCTATCAATTAATTCTCTTGATTTCTAAAATCTAAATCAAAATATAAATCTCTAGTTAAATGTAATGTTTTGAATGCTTTTTCACATTACTCTTTTCAATCTTAACCCCAAGCGTTTACAGCGAATTTTTTCTTGAACTAATCTTTAATTTGTTTCGTTACTGTTGCCAAATGACAACTCTGCTGTATAAAAGTTATTATTGTTATATATACTGTATATAAAGAGTATAGTTGTAGATTGCCGATTGCCAATTTCAAAGTGCGTCAATCAACCCGTCCTCACAATGATAAAACCCAATTATATAAACGTTTTACGTATGCACATTATTTATAGATTTATTTATTTATCATTTTGTTACAAAGCATAATGGGTATATAAAAAACAAGGAGACCTTTAGAAATCGATTAATTGTGGAAAAATTCAAAGCCTTGTCCATGAACACTGTGCTAAACTCTAGCATGAGTGCATTTTGTGCAGATTTTAATTGCTGTTGGTGTTAAGGCCTGTGTACACGATCCGATTGTTTCGGTTCCGACTTTTGGTTGCTTGTTCTTACGGTCGGATAATTTTGTTGACATTTATATTCGCTTATATGTTTATAGTCTTGAAAGCAGCAATATGTGTTATCTATTACATTCATCGATATATTTGTGTATTTTTTATTCTTGTTTTCAAGTCTTTTTCAAATCTAATTTCTTGTGGCAATCAAATCTGGAAAGTATAGAGAGTAAAAAGTTTGAGGCTAATCGGCCTCCTTTTATCTTGTCCGATGAAAATAGAGAAAGTTCTATTTCCATTCGGTTTTTGAGACTGACGGATCTAACTGTAGAGGGCTCACTTTAAACATGTTCACACTATTCGTTTTTTTACATCCGACAAAATCGCATCGTGTGAACGGGCCTTTAAAAGTTTAATGTTCAATGGACAGAAAATCTGTAGCCATAAGGCGCCATACTATTATTTATTTTATCATAAACAAATGTTTGGGGCTTTTTAGTTTATGATCATTGATCATTCAATCATTGGACAGTTATACTACATATTGTTTAAGATTTGAGAAAAATAACATTGATTACATGAGAAGCTGTTTACTATATCTGTGATTTTGAGTCTTCTGATCCATGAAGCTTTTTATTTTGACAATTTGACTGGAATGGTATTAAACATGAGTATTTCACATACATGAAATGTTGTCCCATGTCACATATTGTCCCCTTTTCTAACTGAACACCTCATGTAGAGATGTAAAGGTGTGTTAATCTACGGCTCATACCAGATTGTTTGCCATAAATTCCAAAGCGCTATTGATGTATGAAAAGCATTTTCTATAAAGTAAAAATGTCTTCCTATGTATGCAGATAAACCTTGAAATTTGGCAAAACAGCAAAGTATTTTTCATGATCATTAGGTAATTTTTCTGATGATCCTTATAATTTCTAAACTAAATTATTTCAGATTTACATTCAAACGAGCTTTGATAATATGACAAAATATTTATCATAACCAGTAAGCATGACACATGAACCAATTTTAACATTCATATAATTATATAATTAAAGACATGTTGGTTACATTCTGTTTGTATTTGCAGATACAATGCTGCTAGTGATTGCTATATAGCACACCTTGCATATACTTACAGAAAATAATAGTCTAGTGAAATGCCTAATAAACATTTATGGCATTAAGCTGTCCTTAACTGCCAATTTTCACTCTGATAATTTTTGCTTAATCTTTGGCAGAAAAAAATTTTGAGTTTTTTCTCAAAAGGTGAATTTGCTGGCACTGATGTGGAGATGGGTAAGGTGTTACAATAAACTTGCATGGTTTGAAGTCTGAGCTTTTCTATATCTATGAACTGTCACTTGTAGTACCAAATTTCTACTTAACTCGTTACATAGAGGTTTGAATGGGGGTCTCTACGGGGTCTATGCATGAAAACTTGGTAGACATTTTTAAAGACTATATCTGTTTTTGAATAGCATTATTGTAAAATAAGTTTTACGTTCCTAGACATGCTAATGAGCCATATATTTGGCATGATAATGACCCTAAATATTTGGCAAAACATTCAAGTATTGTTCACTTCATATATTTTTTTTTTTTGAAAATACGTAAGCAAAATGTGTTGTTTTTACGCAAAAACGATGCCAACAAAATACATTTTGTATTGCTCTAAAACGCTGAACATGGCATTTTCAAGGCTCTGAAATTCAAAATTTCTCAGGGGAGAATGCCTCAGACCCCCCCCCCTCAGGTGCGGAGCGCCTCCGACGTTTTATGACTGAAGTTTGAAAAATCCTAGATCCGCCCCTGCCCATATGACTACAAAATATACACGTAATTCAAAATTAAACATTAAATATTAAAAAGTATACATTAAAATGAGCTATTGACATTTCCACCGAAATGAAATGTTTTAACTTTGCAGTTCAAATTATTTCAAGACACATTTGCCGGCCATGTCCGACTGTAGTCTCTCATAAAATAGCTAGGAGATTAAGAAACAGCATCGGCATAATTATGAACGACCAACCAGAATGCGTCCCATCTTTTGTTGGGAAATCCACGTGACCGTACAAGCTTTTTGCCGCTTATTAGCTGACTATACTTACAAATATATAGTATGTGATACAGGCTAATAGAGACCTAGGTAATTCAACGAACAGTAAACATTTTGCCAGTTTTCTTCAGCTATAAGTCAAGATCTGTGGCTGTCTCATTAAAAGAATAGGAGTACATCGAATATATTTTATCGAAAAATGCTTGTATTGGATAGAAGCCATTTATTGACTCTATTGCGTCTAAGATAACCAGCTCTAGGTGGTGATTTTGACATTGCCACAAAACTAAGGCCGGGAATTTCCTCTTCAGCCTTGCCCCAAAGCCGCTTTCTACTCCAAACATGACAGAGGCTCCATCGCTTGTAAATGCAACGAGATTCTTTTATAAGTAATCCTTGTCAAACTCGTACTCTTACAGCGTCGTAAGAATACGCTTGACGATAGATTCTGCATCTTGACCTTCTATTTCATGGATTTCAAGGAATACGTTCTCAAGAACATCAAAAATTACTACACGTATTTAAATAATCGGACATGTTTTCTTTGATAAAGAAGTCGAATCATCAGTTATAATTGCGATTTTTTTGTCTTGTCCTTAATCGTTTTTCATATTTTTCTTCTCATTGTGTCCGCAATTCATTCAATCATCTGCGTGCGACTCTGATGCCTAATTCAAACGTCACATTTTACATGAGCCGAATGCAATTAAAACAAAAGATAATGAGGCATTCTATCTCATTTTCATTTCTCTTTAATGCACTCGGCGCATGTAAAATGCGACGTTTAAAATTGACCCAAGATCTATCCCATTTATGCTCCGCAATGTAGCAAGGTATGGTCCGTGAATGGTCGGTTATGGTAGCCAGCTTAAATTTCTAAAGCAATTCTTTTTAGAACTTTCCTGTTAGTGCTCTTATTCTAAAACAATTCTTTTCAGAACTCTTGATTTTTTTTAGTTTTTTCTTGGTTTTCTCTGGTTGGTCCTTTTTTCACGGTTTTATCTTGCGTTTCATGCTTTTTATTTTGTTTCAGTCCATTTACCATAGCAATTTCTCTCTTTAAGGCGTTACAGTTAAATCTCGATGCAAGATGATGAGGACAAGTTATAATTTATACGTGTACGTTACATGATAAAATCTTGAACGAAAAGCTTATGAATACAATCCATGCAGTTAGAATTCCAAAATTGATAAACAATGATATGAAAAAAGTTTGATTTACGTTTGGGCTTGATTTCAATTGCCTTCGTGTTTTTTACTAATGAAACGAACATGAATCATACACGGTCAAAAACGATCAGGTTGTTGCAATATTACATGGATCGCGCATCACTAATTAAATTTGAAGTCGAAAGGCGGCCATATGGAACAGTCCCACTTCACGAGTTTGACATACAAATTATATCACATTCTGCTATGAAAAATTGCAAGAAGCTTCTCTTATGATGCATTGACAAAACTGCTACGTATTAGCTTTAACAAGATTAAGTGTAGGAAGCAGTTGTATTATTAAGAAAGGATTTATTCAAAAATTTTCGTGACACCATTTGAGAGATACAATCGCAAGAGAATGCTTCTAGCTTCACGACGAAAGAATTTTTAGGGTGTGCGGTGTATAAGTACAATGCGCTCCAAAATTCATTGCTATCGTGGTTTTTACTATAGATTATTATTATTTGTTGGATGATTAAATCGCTTGCAATGAGCGGTTCAAATGTCCAAATTATGTAATCTTGAAGAATGATGAAGGGGAACAAACCGCCAACTAGACATTGAAACATTGAATTATAACTAGGGGTGCTGAACCCCTCGTGCCCCCCCCCCAATACACCCCTGATTACGAGCTTACCTTAAGTAGAAGTTTGATTATAATTCTGTTTGTCCTTAGCGAGAGGTAGAGAGTTGTGTAGGCCCACTCATACGTGTCCCAGTCTCTTCTTCTCTACTCCAGCCATAGTACCAATATTCGTGCTCTAAATGCTGGTTAATTCATGCGCAGTGCTCTCTCTCCTACAACTCCTCCACTCCTCGCTAATGACTAGTAGAATTATAATCAAACTTCGACTTAAGGTAAGTCTCGCTGGATTTCCAATTTTTTGTTTTCTTGTAGTAAATTTTTTGCAAAAAAATTCCTGCAATGTGGAAACACTGACTTATTAATACTAACATTAAATTATCATTTTTCATCAACAACTGTTATATTACGTTGCCTGGGTGGAGGAGTGAAAAAATTGAAAGAAGATGTAGCAAGGAAATTATTTGCAGATGAGAAACTTTTTTATGTGTCTTGTGAAAAAATGCAGAAAATATGTTATTACAAGAAAGTGATACTTTTATAAAAAGATATCACATAAACTGAAAAGCTAAATGACTATTTGTAGAGAATGAACTACCAAATTACAGTTTTAGCAAGCCCTGGTATGATTGTTTAGAAAGTGCCAATTCTGTAAAAATATATAGCCACTGTTTTTTCACAATATCTCTAAATTTAGAAAGGGTGGACCTTGTAATTTCATAAATAAACTAACAAAGCACCACTGAAATATATGTTAGCATGTGTTTTACAGTAAGATTAGGAGCTGAAATAATTCTTATAACCTTGAATTACGCTTTCTCTAAATGCACAGAAAACTTTCGACGCCCTTGGCGAAACAAACCATTCATTTTTTTGAGGTAACCAACCATTATAGTTGTTATTCGTCAAACCAAAAACTTCGCATTTCACTTCAGGCTCCTCTTTATCTTGTACAGCAATGTAAAAATTTCCACCATTAGTTGCCCGAATCATACCTTCTCCTCCAAGTGGCTTTAACGCATGCGTGGCATTATTGACAAATATTGCAAAAGCTTTCCTTCCAAACCAATCGATTTCCTTTGCCGTTGACAAGTGCAAAACCATATCACGCGAAGTGAAAGGCCATGGAAGTTGCACAACCGTAAAAACAATTGCTGATTCATCTGATAAGGTTTCCAACTTCTCTGTGCCTGAAATTTAATGAACGTCTTAATTTATAGAGAGACGTGCGTGTATACCGCGGGATTAAACGTACTTGTCATGAAAATGATAAAGTAGCACTCAACACAACAAATGGCGTATAGCCAGCCAATATGACTTTCGTGCTATTTCAATAATCAAGTGCATGATAAGGCTAAGATATAACTATAATTTATGATCCCCACGAGTTTTTCTCAAACAATAATGAAAAAAACTCACGAAACAAGTATATTTCGTTTTATAATATCTGATTTCTTTTAATCTAAACTCCGTAACTCAGTCAATTTTAAAAATAACAAAACAAACACAACACTCGAGAAGTTTCCAATTGCTGGTATTGTAATTAGGTTGAAATTTGAATAAGTATGCCACGGACGTAATTATGTTTGTGATTCATAGTTAATGTAAACACACTCCGTAAGCGGTGATATGTATCAATAAAGAAGTATGTTCCACCTATTTTCGGTGAAAATAATCCCATGACATACAAGCTGTACTTCTGCTTGTGGCATTCTAGCAGGGTAACCAATTTCTCGGGTTGGGATAAATCAAAATCACCCAGACTGCAGTCTAAAAACGCGAAAATTTGATGTTATTAATTATTTACCAGTGAATGCTTTGTCCCACTTTAATCGAATATCGAGTTTCGAGGGATGCAATATTTCGGCAAACTTTTCAGCACTTAATGGCAGATTTTCGAACCTAAATAAAGTTTTCACCGGCACTTCGTCATTTGGAAATGTTTTGCTCCATGAGTTATATTCTCCAATTTTATTAAATCTTTGCGTCCACCCCTCTTGCTTTTCCAATTCGTCTTTGAACCATTTTGCTCTTTGAACTTGTGTTTCAAAATCTTTCAAAATATCAGCGTTCTCCAGATTTGAAGCCATTCTAATTACTGACTAAACTGAACTCTTTATGAAATAGTCCACAGCATAGACACAAACAGTAGTGCCACTCTATAGAAATTTTTTGTGTAGCGCATATCTTATTAAGCTTGTTATTAGCATAAAGGCAGCCAGTCAATTGTTTTTTTTGGCCAATAGGAGGGCATAGATCGCTGAAGTGTAATCTAATTAAATATACAGCACCAAGTTGTACAGTGGAGTGAAACCACTCTATGCATCTATTCTGTGAAATACAAGAGAATTTGTATTGAGCAAGCAGCACCGTATTCCAATGTCCCAAACTTAATTTTTCAATTGTTTGAAACTGTATTAAACGGTCAGGTTAAGTAAATACACCCCATAATGTCTTTATATTGTACATATCTTCTGTAATACGACTCAAAAGATTTTACAATATTTTCTGTTTGAGTGGATGAATTACACCAGCAATTAAACTTTCATTAAGTCGCTTGAGTCGTCCGAGTCGTTCCAATTCTTTTCGTTGTTTTTCAAAACCACTGGGACGACTCAAGCTAAGTTCTCATATTTTAGTACTAGCGCTTCCGAGAGACTGCTTAATTAATTTTTGCGCGAAACATTTAAAAAGAGCATATGCTGTTTAGCTAAGTCTTTTCGCAAGTTATTTGCTTCTTAAAATCGTTTGCCCCATAAAAAGGTCACTTGCATTTCTCAATGGTCGTTTCGATCGTCCGGATATAGCAAGTGACACTGGTCGTTTCAGTCGTGGGAGTCATTTGAGGTCATCCCAGTCTCCTTTGAAATGTTCTCATACCGTGGCATGGGTCGTCTGTGAAATTTTGGCACGACTGAAACGACTCGGGCGACTATATGAGAACAAAGCAAACGAAAACCAGAATAATAAAAGCAGTAAAGGTTTTCAAGTAGGCACTGCATGGCTGAATTTCATCATCCATTTTCAAGATTGGCTATATGTGGCTATAATCAGTGTCTATATCATTATTAGGTATTGCATGGGTATTATTGCTCTAACTTGATTTTAAAATTTAAACCTGATCGCAGTCTAATTTCGTCCTCGGTCATCTGATGTTTGAGTGTCAAATATTCGTGATGACGTACATGCAAAATTTGTTGATGCAATGGTAAATTTGTAAGTTTGTTGTAAAATGTAACATGCCGTTGTTTGTTGGTCGAAGAAAAGTTCAACATGATAACATTAAAAGTTTGGAGAAGTTTATGGAAAGCTTTCCTCAACTTGAGGTAAAATGAAATTGTGTTCCACAGTTCTACTTTCATCTGTATTTAACGTACGTTTTTGTTTACTGATAGTTCGTAGAATTGAGTCAATTGACTGAACTTTTTGCTTTAAATCGTGCTATTGAAATTCCCAAGACTTTTGAAATTCTTCTCATTTCTTCGTCCTAGTTATTCAACCACGTACAAAAACGACAAGTGAATACACAAAGAATTTATTTATCAATATTTCAGCTGCCTTCTGTAGCCTTTAAATGTATTTGTGCTAATGTAATTTCCTTTTATAAAGACGCATACTGGATGTCTGAAAAACATTTAAAAAAACGATAATATTGTTAAGTGCATGTTGACATGTTTTGTGTAAAACATATGCTTTGTCTTCAATTCAGGGGGACTTAGGGCAAGGGTGCTAAGGGTGCACTCTTAACCCAAATAGGGTATAAAAGGGGTGCGAATTTTACTATGAATTAAAATCATAGTGTTTCAAACAAATAAGTAAAGTCAATTATGATATGTGTTTAATAAAGCATGCTTCCAAAAATTCTCGCCAAAAGCAAAAGGAAACAGATTTTAATAAAAAAGGTGTGCATGTTTCAGGTACAATTAGCCACTGAATGAAATCTAATTCAAACTAGAGTATTCTCTCTAAAAAAGCAATTTGCATTGATCTTTGTCTGTTGAGTGGGTGATTAATTACAAGCCAATGAACATCTTGACTTTAGTATAACTTCCAATAACAGTCATGCATGGAACATTTACCAATCGAAAATGTTGTCGAGGAGTTTGAATCTGTTTTTTAGTTTGTGATTTGGGTTTTATGTGCTAAATGCCTCTTTTAGTTTCATGAAAAATCATTTCAAAACAGTAAACAGTGTCTTGATATGCTTTTGTATTGTATATTTATTACTTGCATAATATTGTCTACAATGAAAGGTATAATTTTTATCTATAGTGTGCTACAGCCTGTGCTATGATCTACCAAAATATTTACTATAAACTTTCAAAATTTGGTCAAGAGTTAATTTTATCATTAAAAGTTGATAATAAAATTTTTGCTTCAGAAAACATCAAAAGGTTTTGCTCTGGAAGAACCCACAAAATTTGATGGAAAAAAGATTTTGTACATTGGGCAACGAGAGTATGGAACAGTTGCCTTCAATGATGGTGAGTAAAAATTCAGAAAATCGGCACAGCCACCATTGATTTTAGTCTTGGTTGATAAAGTGAAAGTGAACATTTGTCTTTGATTCAATTTAAACAAGATGCTTACCCATGAAATGTACACCTGTGCTAATTGGGTCAGGATTTCATTATATTTGCATATAGTATATTGCTTATATTGCTGAAAATCTTGAAAAAAATGGAATCTCACATGCGGCAGTATATTATGTCATTGATCATGTTTAAGTGTATGTTTATTAGTGACACCAGGGCTTAACTTTAAACTAGGGTGCCCTGTTCCTTTATGGATGGGTCCCCAGCAGTCACAAATAATGTGTGCTATTTTGTGACAAGACTAGAAAATCCAAACTAGTTCAAACTTTTGTTAGCCTGAGTATGTTTTCATAAACTTTGCTATTTCATTGCACATCCTAAGGTAAAATGCAGATATATGTTTGAGAAAATTTGTCACCAAAATATAAGTGCCAGTTATTGACTATTTTAATAATTTGCTATGACAAAAACCACATTTGAGAAAATCCTCAAATTTGATTTCCATATTTTAAAAGTCAAAGTTTATTTACATTAATTGTTTTATGTCAATTCTATATACAGTCAGTGTCTTCTGTTTTAAAGTCAAGAGTAATAAACTCCTGATTTTATTTTGTAGTTTTATTCATTATTGATGCATTTATGAAATCTAATGTTTTAATTAGAGCCTTAGAAATAGACCAAAAGTTGTAAAATTGAATATATTGTGACGTTTCGTCTTTACTCTAGACATCTTCAGACAAGTAATAATTAATTAATAAGATGTTAACACAAGATATTATATTTACAAAAAGTAAATTACTACAAAGAGGAGGTGTCAAATGTATTACATGATAGGGAAGTTAAGAATTAAAAGTGAAATTAAAAGAGGTTAAGTGGAATGGAATTTCCTTGCACATTAAGTGAAGGCTAGTATTTATTGATTAGAAGGCTCTCATGAATGGAGAGTTCATAAGAATCGTTGGAAGAGGAGATTATTTTAAAGTCGTCTAAGTTGGGTGTGTGTCCAGTTGCGTTAATGTGAACAAGAATGCTTGATAACGCAGGGTGGGAAACTTGGTTGCCTGTAAGGGGTGATATTCCCAAGTGCTCCGAAAATCTGGTGTGTAGATGACGTGTGGTTTGACCCACATACGAGGCGTTGCAGCTTCGACACTTGAATAAATAGACTACACCAGATCTCAGAGGTTTGGGAATTTTGTCCTTAAAGGGGTAGAAAGAAGAGATACTTTGGGAAGGGCAGAAAACAAATTTAATGGATATATGTGGGAAGGCTGCAGCACAAAGGTTATTGATTTGTGTGCGAATTTGAAGGGAGTGCATGCCGGTGAAAGGAAGACAAAAAAAGATGGGCATTTTATGAGCAGTCAAGACAAGTGGTTTGGGGGCAAAGGTGTTGTAAAGGAAGCGACGTGTGATTTGGTCAATTAAACGTGAAGGATAACCGTTTTTGGTGAGTGACTTTCTGGTAAATTCGAGTTGTGTGTGGAAATTTTTGTAAGTAGAACAAAGGTTGAAGATGCGGTGTAGTAAGCAGGAGACTAGTGAAAGTTTGTAAGTAAGTAGGATGAAGCTGTGGAAGTTAGTGAAGAGGCCAGTGACAGTATGTTTACGGTAGACGAAAGTGGTGAATTTTCCATTTGTACGAGAGATGTCAATGTCAAGAAATGATAGTTTTCTGTTTTGTTCGACTTCAGCTGTGAATTTTGATATTTGGGTGTTGTTGGTTCAGATAGTCAAGAAAGGAAGGGACGTGATCAGAGGAATGAAAAAGTAAAAAACAGTCGTCAACTTTAAAGCTTAGCGTTTTAAACAACATATATTGGGGGGGGGGTGGGCTCATTGAGTATACGGTTTTTTCCGGTTTAATCAAGCAAAACTGCCATTCCTACAGAATTGAATACATACTTTTAATCTGATTTATAATCCGTTAAAACTTTTTAAGATTCGGTGATGGTATTATTTGCGATTTCTTGAATATCAAGCATATATTTTCTAATAGTTCCCATATTATGTCAACATATATAATCCTGATTACCCATGATGCTCTGTTTTGTTGAAAGGTCAAGTGAACTAGAACTAGTTGCGTTGAGTTGGTTTTAGAATTTCTTACGTGTAAAAACAGAATTCCTGCTATACGTCTATCTTAACAAAAAACCAGAACAAAGTTATAAAGGCTCTGTCAAGTCTGTTTACAGGAACGAAGCTTGGACGCTAGTTAAAGGGTTAAAGGAGGGGGTCGTTCATATATTCAGCTCTGTCTGACTGTTTTGAAACACGACGCCTATCACGCACTCAATCGGGCTACTTGAGCGAGAACAATGTTTGGTTATATTTTTGTTTTATATAACAATTGCCAAATAGCACAACAAAATCCACCCAAAATTGGCAATACAATGTCACATGTTGCAATGTAATATATAAGTAAATCATGAAACATGAATTGATTGTTCGTGTTAGTAACCATCCAAGAAAGTTTTTGATTGGTTGAAAGAGTTCGTGTCAGTCACGCATGATTTATGTAAAGTGACTTGTATCATCTTTCTTACAAGAAAATTGTCTTTCGCTTTGTGTACCTGGTTAGCACTATTTTCCACCCAGCAAACCGCCCTTTACTTTACACAATCGGAAATAAATTAAAGATGGCGGCTAATGGGAAAGAACCAAAAGCTAAAAGGAAACCATGCATGCACTGGTGCTAGGTCGTTTTGAGATGGCGAGTAATTTTATCTTTTTATAATACAGTTTTTAATATCAACATATGAAAATATTTACAGATAAATGCTCCAGTATAAATTTTCATGCAACCATCTTAAGTTATAAACTTATAATCCAGGCTGGAAAATGTCGTTTTTCGACGATTGTGTAAAATATTATATAAAATATTATATTGTGTAAAATATTAGATTGCGTAAAATATTATATTGTGTAAAATATTATATTTCAAAGTAAAGGGCGGTTTGCTGGGTGGAAAATAGTGCTAACCTGTGTACCTCTCTAAATAAACTGTGAGCCCACGACTCGGCTCAAAATAACAGTGTTATCCAGTGTACTTCATGTAAAAAGGTCGCCTAGTCAAAAAAACGGAAAACGGTCTTCATCGTCAAAATTGCGGGTTTTGGTGAGTAAGAACAAAGAAATACGAATTCAGCATGTCGAAAAGTATAGAATACCGTTCATAAAATTTAGCACCGCAATTGCTTCTCGCATTCAGTCCCTTTTCCTTCCTTTTAGACTTGATCGACGTCATTTGTTCGGATAGCGCTACAACTTGTCAGATTGTTGTGATCCGTCATGAAGGTAATTCGCCACATGTTCTGTCTTCTTATCTATATTGCCTCTTGCATTTTTAACGAATTCATTTATGAATGTCTTAATCCGTAGAAAACAATGGATTTTAAAGGAACTTAATACGGCTGAACATGCCAAACTCCAATAATGCTATTGTCGTTTAACTCCGTGTAAACTAACCAAAGGGTTGCAGCAGCCATGCACAAGTTTTCACAACTGAGCTTATTTCTTTTCTTAATGTTTTTTTTGTTATTTTCATACTGTTTTATTTCACGTTAACTTATTCAAAAAAACACAAAGAGTAGTTAAGGTGCAGGTATGGTCCCGGAAGTAAACGGAGCTCTTACCCGTGTCAATTAGTTTCCCGTCCTAGGAAGTAAACAGTGCGCGCGCGTGTAAACCGGAAACGATATAAAATGAACGAAGGTTGCTATTGGATGACATGATTAATTGGAACACGATAAAACTTAATTAAAATTGTCAATTGTTTTCTATTCTTAAAGCAATATTAGATTCGTTTTCTTGTTTCTTTCGCAAATATAAAAAAAGGAGGACACGTTACAATTTTATTGAGTTAAAGTTATTTGGTAATTTTTGTCTTACTAAAACAAAAATGGCTTTAAAAGTAGACATTGAGCAAGCAAAGAAAGTGAAGGAATCGTCCTTCGAATTTGAAGATGAGAGCCATGTTTTAGATGAACGCCAAAGCAATATACAGAACAAATTGTTAAAGTGCTATGCTACTGAAATTGGTTTTAAAATATACGAAATTGATGAGGAAGAAGTCATGAAATCCTTCTTTGATAGTTTACAAGACATGACTCCGATAGTAAATGGGCTAGAACTTATCAAGTACACTTGTAATGATTGGAGAAAATATTTTGACAGAAAAAGAACAAATTAGAACATGAGACGTTGATTTCTTAAATAAATTTTATTGAAATAAACATTTTATTGAAAGAAACTAGCAACGATCACTCTGAAATAAAAAGAAATCAATCTTACTGACTGTTCTACTGTATCACTTTTCAAAAGATAAAGAATTATAAAAATACATACTCAAAAAAATCTTCTAAGAAGCGATAAACATCTTCGTCAAAACATCTAGAGTATAAAGCAATGGATATTACATAAAAAAAACACGACTGCAACATTCAGCAAGCATATTAATTATTTTACTTTAAAGCATATCGGACATTTGAATGGCAAGCATTCTACTAGCCTCTCTTCAAACCAAAGATAGATGTACTTTATGCCCACAGCTCGGTGGACAGATCACCCATAGGTGGCAGTGTTCACACTGGCCTAAAACAATGAACAAAATCACAACTTAAATTTTCTAAAGTCATATGTAACATTGAAATTGTATTCCAATTCAACTTACTTAAAATCGGTCTAATGGTGTTTTGTGTAGCCATTCTAGCTGTTGGTTTTCTTTGCTGATGCCTTCGCCGTTTACTTGCCTGAGACTGTGAGTGCTTTTACATGCACATTATTGACATAGGCTCTTTTGTTAGCAGTAATTTTCCAATGGATTGATTATTTCTTTAGTATGCGTGCGTTTCAGATTGAATGAAGGCATTAAAGTATTAAAACAGTAAATTAACTCGTATGTCTGCAGGCCTAATGTATTTCAAACACCGCCAATTAAGATTGTGAAATAACGTGCAAGGTCATTGTCAGTTTTGGTTTGGAAAAAATATTATGTATCATAACTGTCTTAAAATTATAGCTATGAGTCTTAACAATTATTATCTCTGCAATTTTAACTTGTCATTATACTATGAAAACAAGCAAGAAGAAATTTTTCATCATTCGTGTGGAGAAAGAATTTTGATGGAAATATGATTAAAAGAAGCCTTAATCAAACAATTAAAAAATGCAGACAAAACTTAATCCTTGAGGTAATTATAATCGTTATGTATGGACGGGAGGCCAAAACAGAGAAAAAAACCTTCGTTTTTTGAAAAATACCCGGCTACGTGTGGACAAAATCTTAAACATAGCCAGAACCTGCGCATTGCAAAGTTAAATAATTCCTATTTTCGTATCGTTAATATGGAGAGAAAGGATTTTGATGGAAATATGATTAAAAGAAGCCTTAATCAAACAATTAAAAATGCAGACAAACTTAATCCTTGAGGTAATTATAATCGGCTAGCACAGCTAGAGTCCACATATTTATGAAACTGTATGTTTACTATTTTGGTATTTTCATGGGAAAAATTTAGACGGAAATATGATTAAAAAAGCCTTAATCAAATAATTGAAAAATGCCTACAAAATGGAGTCATTGTGACATTATAAAAACTCATGCACTGCAGATCATTTGCATTAATTGGACAAACGTTTTGCAGCCAGAGATAGAAAAAAAGAACAAATGAAAAAAATGGTTTCTATTGAGAAGCACAGATGCTTTTGTAAAAACGGCGGTCTGAAACGTTTTACTTCTAACGAGGGCGCGCCTTCCTAAAGTGCGCCAAAGAAAAATGTAATTTATTCACGCCCAAAGAAAAGTACTTGCAGCTTATAGACGTGCACGATAAGAATGTGCTGAAGGAATTCAAGCCGAACCGTTTTCCACTCTGCGAGTGCCAAGTGTTTGCATGTCTGTGGGTATCGAACTCGACCAACAATCCTGGCCGACCCTCTTTTCGCTGTAAGTATATGGCAAGTGAAAAGACATGTTCATTCTTTCATTGGGCTGACGAATCGTTTAAAGGAACTGGAAAAACTAAAAAACCAGCAGCGCCTAAAAGAAGAGTCGAGCACCAAGGTACCAAAAGCTGAATAATCAAATTGCTCCAAAATAATTGTCGAAAATTCATCCGATGTTGAAGAAAACTGATGTCGAAGGACATAATTTACAAACTTTAAATTTTAAATTCCATATAATCTTGATGTGTTTACAATATAATCTATGTATGAATTTAAATTTCAAAACAATTTTTTGCTTATTACATCATGACATGCGCAATGACGATTTTTGTCCATTGAGTAGTTGGAGTTTGTTTCTTTTCAAACAAAAAGCATTATCAAGCACGCCCAACGCCATGGGGGCGAGAAAGTTATTTTCGATCCGTGGTTAGGTAAAAGTTATTTCGTCAACGGATTTTGCGAAGACACTAATACTGTGTATGAGTTTTATGGTAAAGTTTATCGCGGCTGCCCCTTAAGTCTTGATTTGAGCGGTGAAAATCCTTATCACAGAGGGACAACACTAAGAGACGCGTACAATCGAACCATTGAGCGTGAGAAAAGATTATTAGAGTTAAGGTATAATGTGAAAACGATATGTGAGCATGATTTCAAACGACTGAGACAGACACCGCAAATGCAGTATTTTCTAAACACACACGAATTCATAACATACTGATAGTTTTTTGGAGGTAGAGTTGAAGGCTTTAAGTTGTTTCATAAGGCTGAAGAAAACGAGAAAATATTTTATTACGATTTTACAAGTCTTTACCCGTTTGTTATGAAAAATCGCCGTTATCCTACGGGTCACCCCACAATTATTCGCAAAAACTTTAAAGACCTTTCTAATTACTTAGGAAGAATGGGTTACTCGGCAGAATGTCATCATTCAGAAAACGAGCGTGCTTTTTGGGGGACTTTTACTACCATTGAAATGACTAAGGCAATTGAAAAAGGCTACAAAATTTTAGAGATACATGAAATCTGGCATTTCGAAGAAGAAAGCTCCGACAGCTTATTTTGCGAAAATGTCAATTTCTTTTTGCGATTAAAACAAGAGGCTTCAGGCTACCCCGCATGGATTTCCTCAGAATCAGACCAGGCAAAATATATCAATGACTACCTAAAGCATAAGGGAATTCTATTGCGTAAGGAGAAAATTGTAAAAAATGTAGGGTTAAGAGCACTAGCAAAGCTTTGTTTGAATTCACTGCGGGGTAAGTTTGCACAATGCAATGATATGTTAATTACTGAATCTATTCACAACGCGCATGTATTGTACAATCGACTAAATAGCGCCGATACCGTGATTCACGATATGCAATTACTGAATGATGATTTAGTTGAAGTTATTTACAAGCGTCATTGTGAGTTTCAAAAGGAAAATAAAACAAATATTTTTATTGGTATTTTTACTACTGCATGGGTACGTTTAGAATTGTACAACGTGTTAGACCGATTGCATAATAATATTTTATATGAGCACCGTAGTTTTTGTTGCAACGCCTGATTCAGAAAAGCCTCCTCTGGGAGACTATTAATGGGATTTGAATAATGGATTGACGAAGGCGAGTACACTACTGAATTTGTCTGTGGAGGTCCTAAAAATAATGCTTATACAGTTAGTAATGGTAAACAGCATTGTAAAATAAGAGGTTTCACATTAAATTTTAAAATATCAAGTTGTCTTTGACTAACGAATAATAATAGACGAAGGTGCCGACACTTGAAAGTTCACACCATCAGACTTCTCCCACACACGATGCGGTGACGGATGATATTTTGTTTACATCCGTTCATCAAATTGTGCAAGAAAATGACATGGAAAGCGGGTCTGAAGAGGAGGAAATTAGCAAGTCGATTGATTTAATGATAACCGACTCCGAAAATGATGAAGAAGTCTTTTCCGAAAGACAATCCGATGTGGAGTTTCTTGACGACATTGATCACTCCGACAGTGAACTTTCATTTTACAGACAAGTGGATCAACAGATATAATGCCAATGCAGGTAAATTAAAGATACATACATATACTGTATACATTATTAACAAAAAAAAAAAGATGAATAGCTTTGAATCAATGAGAAGCAAACTAACAAACAAACATACATATTTTTAGACTAAGGTTGTTTGACACATTTCTACACTGGATTTCTATGTGATCGGTATATGTACAGAGGGGAAACAGCGACGACAATTGTGAACTATGCAATACATCAGCATTATACAGACAAATATGGAAACTAACGTAGAAGGAACCAACACATAAAAGTTGACAGTTTTTTCTTTCGCTGGTGGAACAAAATACATAAACGATGAAGGCGATACCATTGATTCTGACTGTGATGGTGATAACGACAATGAGGGTGATGAATGTAAAGACGAAGACGACAGCTGCGAATGAAACGGTGGTGATGTTGATGATAAGAGTGGTGGTAACAGTGGTAATAACGACAACAGGGGTGATGACTTTGAAGTTGAAAATGATATCGCTGAATGTGGAGGTGTTGATGACGTTGACGGCGACAACAGCAAAGATGTAGACGATAATAACAGCGACTGTGATGAAGTTGAAATGGAGGTTGACATGTTAAAAAATCAGCGAGGATGAACATAAAACTTTCGGAGGGACGACGAAAAGTGCGATGATTTACATGTGATGGACATAATCAACGACGATGGAAGAGGAGAAAAACTGACGAACGACTGAGGTAAACGATTTCTTGTGGCTGACGTACACGAAAAAAGTGGTGTCACAGACGAAAATGAGTTCACAGGCGTCAAATACAAATCTTTTTTTCTGGTTGGACACGGATCATACAACACATTTAACATTGAGAAATTTACAGGACAGGACAGAGGGTTTTCACGTAAATCAATGTACATAAGTCTTGGGTACGCACGAATAACATCAAGTTCATTCAGAGCTTTAATGTTGTTTCGTCTCAACGACAAAATCCTTATTCGTGTATTTTTTACCGTTCCGACAGGAACATGCTTCAGATTCATGTTAGAACAATCTAACATATGATATCTCTTCACATAACCACATTTTTACCATGGGTTGCACATGCCGCCATAAAAACATGCAGACAGCAAGGAATTCATTATGGCAATTGGAAAAGTTACAAACAACTCTTGTGAACTATGAATGTAGTTACAAAATGAATGAACGATTAAAAGGCATGCCTATGCTTGTGAGGATTTTAAAGTAAAACCATCAAGTGCTTTTAAAATTTTCTGTCATAAATATATGCTAGAGTAGACTTGTTCATATGTAATCAAAGAGACTTTGTTGTTTGATTGATGTAGATAATTAGAAAAATATTTAATAAAAATTGCTCATTGTCCAATGTATTCTTAATGTATGCACTTTGTCACTATTTTACAAATACCGCCCCATTCAAACCAGTCGAATCATTCCTTCTTTCTTTGAATATGTCAAAATGTTTACTAGCGAGTGGTTATAAAGTGAAAGCAGAACATGTTTGCTTTTCTTTGCGAGACAATGGACGTACGTTTTAGAACACCTGCCAACTTTTATGTGTGTGGTCAAAGTCAGTCAGACAAAAGCTATTTGGTTAGGTCGATGCTTTATAATTTAAATGAACTTTTTTATCCCGTTCCGAATAAAATTATTTACTGTTATGGCGAACGGCAAAGTGAATTTGGTGAAATGGAATCGAAAATTCCAAATATTTGCTTCGTCGAAGGATTCCCTGAGAACTTGACCGATGTTTTGGAAGGATGTCAAAACTCTTTAGTCATTGTAGACGATCTTATGTCCGAGTGTTCTAATGATCAACGAATGTCGGATTTATTTACCCGCGGGTCACATCATCGCGGAATATCTGTCATGTATTTAACGCAAAATTTA